CAGGAATCCAGATCATTTTTTTTGTGCTAATCCATGTGCTCCTCAATTTAGCGAGCAAATCCCGGCTCATGCTCCACATAACCATCTTAAGCTCTCGTTATAACGTTGTTTTTTGTTTAGGAATTTGTCGTTCAAATGTGAAGTTGGCTTTTCTTAAGAAGACCAGGTTCAGGTGATCTCAGAACTCATGAAATGTGATCTCGAGGATTTCATTTTATTGAGTTTTCGAACATCCGCTTTCCTTCGTTCTCTAGGGCTAGGTAAATGATGGATCTGATTTTCCTATCAGCTTCTTTGAGTCTTATTCCTCCGATTAATTTCAATTCTCTCTTGACTGGAGCGTTCTCTTCATTGTCAAAACTCCTTTGTTCATCCATGTTTCTTGCCAGTGTTGCTGCTCTGTGCTGTTTGTTTTCTTTTTTTCTGGTGTTTTCTCGTATTAGTCGGGTTTTTCAATTTTCCGATCCAAAGCATTTTCCATTTTCAGGCTGTCAATCTCTATGTTCTTTTCGGTTATCGATGCCAACTCCAACATGTCACTCCGATTAATCAACAGAGTATGTGGGTCAATTGTGTTTCTTTGCCAGAAAGGAGGTTGTTCTTTATGCCAGACTCGTTATTTGACTGCGCCATAAAACATGATATACCCCCAAAGTTGGTTAACTGTTCGTGTTATGGAAACAATTCTCAATTCAGTCTTTAGTCTTATTCTTAGCTTATTCACAGGTAAAAATTTTTGGGTACATCATTTTAGTATTGCGCAATCTAAATGATGTATGAAGAATAGGAATAAACACTGAATTAAGAATTGTTCTCATAAAACGAAGACTGAACCAATAGTCAGATAACTCCAACAGAGTGTGGCCGTCGAGGTCAGACAAAAATCGAACTAAGCAAACTGAGCAATCACACACACCCGAGCTAAAATATTCTGCAGTTCTCTCAGAGTCAGAAACACAAGCGGAAAAATGAAAAAAAAAAGTAGCTCTAAAAAGTAAAACGAAAAAGAGAGAAAAAGGCTCTGTTTCCTTCTCACCCCCCTTACACAAAGGCATTATTTTTTTGATGAATCGAAACGAGGTATCATACAAGATTAAGAATCCAGAGCTAAGAAGTTGTTCATGGCATAAATTGTCCGCATGCCTAACTGTTCGCTGTTGAATATTGTCCGAATGATAATGGTCCCCATAAAAATTGGGTAATATGAACGGAACATTTGTCAGAAGAAGTTCAGAGGTGGAAGGGGAACGCCAAAATAAGCCTCGGATAACAAAAATTGGGGCAATGTTTCGGATTCGAATTTGCGGCTTTGAGTTTTGGAGTCAATCCTTCTCACTTTTGCGTCACTGGTCATTGAAAATGCCACTAAGCTTGCTGAAAATTAAAGTTAAGTCGTTTATTTAACGGCAAACAATAATCGCCAATAAACGGGAACAGATTCTATGAAAATTTCAATGCTAGTGTTCGTGAATACAGCAAAAATTGTCAACCAAGGAGTGCTTCTTTTATAACAAATCATTATAACAAATTGTTTTCAAGTGAATTCAGTACAAGAACGGGTTACAAATTAGGAATTCCTATACAAAAACATCATTTGAGAGAGCGCCAAAGGACTAGATAATGCCTGTTTTTAGGTGTCTCAGTGCGCAAAACAAAACTGGTTTTCGGATAACTTTGTAGATAAGGGAAAGAATAATTTGAAATGAGAGCCCAGCTTGCTCAAAATAGGATGAAAAGAGAGCAGTTTTTAGATTTGGTAGAAAAGAAATTTAGGGGTTTACCAGAACCAAAAACGTCTAAAAAAATGTCAAAAAAACAATGAAGGAGACAAATTCAGATTAGTTATAGTTTAACTACAAAACAGCTCATTTATAAGGTCACTTGAATTTAGGAATCTAAAAATTGATGGTTCAACTTTTTAGTTCCAGGTTATTTTCTGTAAAATTATGGAACAAGAATAGCAAACTGTTTAAAATGACACATTTTCTGAAACAAACAATCGCTTTGATGCAAATTTTTTGTGTATTGCAACAGCTCTGGCTATAAAGCTTTTAGTTAAAATTTTTTGATGCTACTTATGTAATAATTTTTATAAACTTATTAGTTTCTGTAAAATGTCAGATTGGCATTACCCCTGTGTTACTTTGCACAAAACTTTTAGCAGTTCAGAAAGATACATTTCTTTAATAGTAGAATTTATAACTTGTTGTTTTATGTCATTGATTGGTTAAATGTTATTTTAGGCATCTGGTTTTTATAGGACGTTTCAGCAGCCTCTTTTTGTGTTCAAATTTGGTTGATTCAGTTGACGCATAAACAAGGACTCAAAAATGGCTGCGCATGAGTTTATATAGCAAATGTAGCTTTTTTTTAGGTCAACGTTTTTCTCAGTCTATAAAAAGACCACAGGACTGGCTTACTTTTTTTTCTAAATAAATTATTTTGTTTAGGAGTGTTAATTTTTATCAATTGAATATTTGAAACTTATGAATTTTTTCTCTCTTTTTTGCCATTTATTGTTGTATCCATAAAGACTTTTGCAGCTAAGTTTTTTCCAAAGACCATAGTTTTAGTTTTTGTGGTTAAGTGTTAGTTTATTGCTTGCTAACTAAAAAAACGTCTTGATCTGCTTTTGGACTATTCATTGAAGAGGTTAATACTCAGCATATAGTAACAGGTTACCACCTTCCGGAGCATTTTTTTCTTAAATGGTTCTTTTATCACATGAAAAGAACTGGACCCAAAAATGATCTCACGGGGACGCCATAAACTGTTTCTTTAACTTCTAATTTTTTTCGAAATGTATACATATTGTTTTTCTGTTTGCTAAATACAATTTCAGAGAACTAAAATTAGTTCACTTATCAAGCAAAACACCATGGTCAATTGTGTCAAAAGCTTTCTTCTTATCTGTGAACTTGCATTGGGTTAAGATGGAACGATCGTTCCAGTGAAACTTAATTTCCTCAATCAGCGATATAACAGTATGCAAAGTGCCCCGTTATTGTCTCATTCCAAATTGATTTTATGATTGGTATTAAAAATTTTCTCAAAAAAGCTGTTCAGCAACTCTAAGATGAGCTTCTCAAAAATTTTGCCGAGAACTGCTAATAAAGAATATGGTTTAAAATAGGAAAGATCTCTTTTGTTACTTTTTTGTATATTGGAATTATTTTTGCAAGATTTAGAACTTCCTGAAAAGTCTAGCAAACGAAACATTTTTTTTTGCAAACTTCCGGAGAAGCGCTATCAACAATTCAAAAAATGAGAAGATCAAGTTTTTTTAAACAAAGTAGTAAAGGGGACGTATGGGTCAAGGCTGTATTTCGGTTTCAAATTTTCAAAAAATTTTTCTGTTTCTTCTGTGTTGTGTGATGGTTTTTCGGATAAAAAGATTCGGTTAAATGCAAAACAATCTTCCGCTTGGCCAATCTTTAAAGTATACTCAAAAAATGTGTTTTTAATAATAAAGCCCTGTAGGTTATCAATTTCCTTATTTGAACCTATTGAAATTTTCTAAATTTTGAAAAATTCAATTTGATTATATGCTTCAACAATCTGTTTTTCTTGATAAAATGCTTTCTTTTTCGTAGCTCTTACTTTTTTCACAACACTTGGTTGCGATTGATAATTTTTGAGCAGTTATCATGTACAAAGCGTTTTGAATTGGTTTAGCAATTGAGACTTTTTTCCGAGGCCGCATTTTGTTTTCAGAGTTTTTTAACAGCACCAATCCAGAATTTTTGCCGCTTTTCGGAGATAAATTTTTTGGAATAATCAAATCAAATTTTGCTATTAAAATCTCATTAAGTCTTGAAAAGGGAAATTTCAGGCTGACAATGATACATGATGCTAAATTTCATCGATATGAGGTCCAAGACTGTCTGTGAGATCTTCAACTATTTTTGGATTACAGTTTAAACCAGGGTCTACTAGTATGTTTTTGCATGAGGTTTTCCGATTTTGAATCAATATTCAGATCCAGTGTTACAGTCTAGGTTTAATTTAGTGATGTTCCAAAAAATTTGGTTTGGAATGTTTGATTGCAGACCAGATGATTGTTCTAGCAACTTTCTCTGGTCGCATGCTTGCTGTTGGCAACTTTAAGTTCAAAAGAACCTGGTATTTTAAGAAGTGCAATTTTTCTTTTGTTTTCGTTCAATGTAAAAAGAATTGCAATCACCACATGTTTCATGTATTGACTGGTGGCAAAAAAAACACTATCCAAATGATTATGAAGCTTGTCTAATAATTGCGAGTTAACTGCGCTGGCTGGTATAAATGAGGAAGAAACTATGAGTTTTTTGCAAAATTTTGTCACAAATCGAATGCTCAGACATTGTATAAGTTTATGATTTACTTTTTGGGTACTTTGAATTTGATTTTTTCTGACATATCTACCTTCTCCTTTTACTCTTTTTTTTTGAACATTCAATTAAAAGTTGATAACCATATAATTGAAACCGGCTAATTAATTGATTTTAATTCAAGCAAGTTTCTGTTATACATATCGCTTTTGGCTTTGCATTTGGTTTCTCAACCAAACCAATAAATTCGTGAAGGTTTTTTCGGAAAAGATCTTATAACTAAAGTTCAATTTCACGCGCGCTGTATGCCTGATGATTTTTCGCTTTATCGTTTTTGCATTTAATGACAAGAATAATAGATGTGAAACATAATTTTTTGAGGTTTCCTCATTTAATTTCAGTAGTTTATGACGAGTAACTATTTAAATTAGTAAAATAAAAAAGACACTATTTGATCAAATTTAACTCCGCGTATTCACAGAGCTGTTCAAGTTTTATCAAACTTTGATTTCGCATCGATAAGTCATTTTGAAGGACCACTGCTCTGATTTATTGGTTGCGTAATCACAAATCAGTCAGAGTTGCTTGCGTAATCACAGGCAGGGCTGGCATAGGACTTTCAAGAACATTAACCGAGCACTGAATTAAAGAAGGATTATAATCAGTCTCACTAGAAACTAGCAGCACAAACTATTTTTCTAATATTTAAATTAAAATATTTATTTTTTACAATACATTTTTACATGAGCGATATTTGCACGAAGTAACATAGGTCAGGCATTTATTTACAACCATTTATATTTTAACTACACACAATGATTCAAAATATAATGTTTATTATTCAGTTGGAACTTTCAATTTTGGGCTTTTTATGGTGTAAACTCATGCTTTGCAGTCATCAGCAGAGTCAAAGAATCTAATTTTGTACTTTTACACCTTCTATTAAGTTATGAATCATGAGATGAATTGACGCAGCAGCCGTAGTGCGAAGTTGAATAATAAAGTTGAATCGGATGTTTATTGTGGCAATTCAAGAGGTGAAGAGTTCCAGGCAACTCATTTAGAATGAAGTTAGGAAAGACACCAAAACATCAGCTGGATTATTTCTTCATAGGACCCTGGATCGGAGGAAGAGGGCGACTCCTGCCTCAACCCAGTGGCCAGAACTGCCTGACTCACAGGGTACATCCACACACGTGACCAGACTGTCTCTTTCAAGGGAAGAGTAGAGGGGAAGAGAGAGGAGCGACTGAGACTTAGGGATTCCATCGGAACTGCCACCACTGCCCTGGATTCGAAACAAACCAAATACCAAATTACATAAGCATTTTGATCATAGGCGTCCACAGTTTCGTTCTTGTTGATTATAATACATACAGCTGCAGGGGCGAATCTAAGATTTTAACAAGGAGGATTTTCAAAAAAAAATTCAAAAATGTTGCCGACATTCATGCTATACGGGAAACCCAGAAAGATCCCTAAATATAAGTGAAATTACTGGAGTCCACGGTTTTTCTGATTTTCAAATGAGATAAGTAACAATCATATAACCAATCAAAATTTAATTGATATTAAACTGACCTTTTGTACCCAAGAGAGCACGCATGTCTGTTTAACCAACTGCATCGTGGGCGAGTTCTGCTGATTCTCTCTCAGGAACCCCATCAAATTAGCACCCTCGATGAACAGATTCTTCACCTAAGCATCAAGAAAAAATGAGAATAGCCACCAAAAAAACTCAGGTCAATTCGATTTTCTTCATTAATCGGGACAGCTACTATGGCCGAGTGGTTAAGGCGTTGGACTTAAGATCCAATGGACAATAGTCCTCCTGGGTTCGAACCCCAGTGGTAGCAGATTTTTTGTTTGATTCTTCAGAAGGTTTCAACCACGTTGAAGAGCACAGAACATATAATTGCAAAAAGGAATGTGGCTCTCTTTTTTACAGAATGCTTTTCATACGTGATGGCTTGGAAAACGCTTCATCGTTTTAGCAGCAGGTTTTTACAAGGCCCAATGTGTATTAATTTTCCTGTAAGTATTTTACAAAGTTCTACCGTTTTCATTTAAAACAGGAGCAGCATGCAATGTATGTACTTATTGCCATTCGTTATGTCGACAAAGTCCTGAAACTTTTCATACATTCATCACTGCGCTGAGGCAGCACTGTGGTCAATAAAATGTTACCGAGTGGCAGCTATTGCGTATTGAAAACTACTCGCAACACACCGCCTAGATGACCTGTGTCGTCTAACGCATTCTATGGGGCTGTATTCAGTTGCGTGTCGTCTAACGCAATCTATGCGGACGTATTCAGTTTCGCAGTCCCTTGGGTCTCATTATGCAACTGAACGTGTAAACATCAAAACTTAGAACGATAAAAGTGTCAGAGCAGCGCTGCTCAGCAGCCATACTGTACTATCATTAATACAAAGTGTTTGTTCCGAGAAGGTTGATACAGTAAAAAAAAAACTAAAACCCACCCAAAGACAAAATTCCTCTCCAATTTCATCGAGCGGAACAATAAAAACAATCATAATAAACATAATAGAGATAAAACTAATTTAAAAACTTATCATAATATTAAGAAAAACACACGAAGACGACGCGGACTTTCGCACCACTTGCGACAAAAAATATGTGCCGGACTTACAACTTAAAATTAAAGCAAAAACAACATATTTCATATTTTTCAAAAAACGTTTAAAATAATACAAAGGTAGTTACGATCTAACCATTCTCTAACACTTGTTTCGTAAAAGCTTGAAAAACTCAAAGCAAGCGAATAAATTTATTTCAAAGGGGGAGGAAAACCGGAATATTTTGCACTGGCTTATATATAATTTTTAAAAATAATTGCAAACAAAAATATTGAAAACCTCACAATTTTTTTTAGAAAAGATGCTATTTCCTGCTTTCTTCTATATAAAAGAAGCCTGCAAATTTTTTTTTTTAAGTCAAAAACCAAAAGGCTTCAAAAATTGTGCATGAAAAATTATGAAAAAACATCAAAAATAATTTCAGCAATATTTTTTTGGAACGCAAATACTCGCATAAAACCGGAATACATACAACAGACAATTGTTAAATCATGGATGAATGGAGCGAGCTAAGCTGACAAAACATATGCGAACAAACAAAAATCCGACAACCTTTTTTTGTCTCGTGAAAATTTTTCCTTTTTACAGGAAAACAAGTCCTGACCTGATTCGAATCACACACATGTGCGTTAGTTCTACAACACTTATGCGGACTACCTCTTTGATTTTGATTTTTTATGAGCCGAGGTATCAAACGTTTCAGGTCACTTTGTTAAACTAGTTGTTAAGCTGAAAAAGCCTCTTTTCTGATTTGATAACGCTTGCTAATCCAAAGCGTAACTAATGATCATTATAATGTAAATTTACACTAACACATTTAAAAGCGTAGGATTAATCGCGCATCAAAAAGTATAGAAGAATCAACAGCGTAAAAGGTAAAAAAAGAGAAACGTTTAAGCAAAAGTTGCAAGAAGAAGCTATTCTCCACATACATGGCCTGCTTTCGTCAAAAGTACCACACAACAATCTCCCAAAAAAAGCAAACAAAATGTTCTTCAAACCGGTGGTTTTCACCGTAAACAGCTCGAAATCATTAGCAAAGTCCTGGGCCGCGAAAACCCGACTCAACATTTTTGCAATCCACTTTGTCAAATGTCTTAACAAAATCAATCACAGCATAGCCAACAGACAGTTGGAAAAGAGTCAATGAACGCAACTAAACAGAAAAACACTGGCTTGTTAAAAAAAATCAATTGTCAATTTTGAGAAACAATGATGGCCTTAAAGCTGTTCGAAATTCTAGAACAAGTTATGATTGTAACTATTTTTTTTTATAAAATCAACCCAATTTAAAAAAACTTTATCAATAGATTAACTTTTTATTCCGCTCGGAAATCTGAAAAAAAAAATCCATTTCCAAAGCTGGAATTTGATCAAGTTTTAACAAAGGAAATGAATTGAGCTTAAAAAGAAATCAAAAGTCAAAGCGAAAAATCAAATTTGAACCTGTACAAATTTTAAGACTTCGTGAAAGAACAACATATAATTATCACTACCTACATAAGAGCCTTCAAAATGTTCGCGACTCTTGAAATAATGTGAACACACAAGCGAAGCTGCACTTCGCAAAAACAAGCGCTAAAAAGCGCCAAAAAGTAGCTTTAAAGCCTGAAAGATACAAAAAAGATATCAACTAATGAGTTTGAAAAATGAACGCCCTCTATGGGAATTGAACCTCATTCCTTGTAAAATCAATTTTTTTGATGTTGGTGGCTCTATGAAATAGTGCCACTGATGCTTAGAGATATCGAAGTCCAGCTAAAAATAGGCAGAAGCCAGCTTCTAAATGTAGAAAAAAAAACAAATTTTGCGTTTAAAAATTTATAATTTAATAAACCAATCTAACTTTACGTTAAATAAATTGAAAGCATAAAAACAAATTTTGTCTAAGTTAAGCATTTCAAGAATGAAATGCTTATAAAAATTGTGTATAATTTAAGAATTAAACTGAGTTGGAAAACTGAGTTGGATAAATAAACTGAGTAGGAGTTTTTACTATTTTACTGTTGCATGAAACAAATAGCTTTCTTCAGTTCAATATATGAAGTAAAAAGACATCGAGGATTAGTTTATTCATATTCAAATTTCAACGCACATGCTTTTATATAGCCGATTTAGCCTTTTTCTGAAAAATGTCACCAAAAGAAACACTCAAACTTGCGACTTATGGGGAAAAAGTAGCATTGTTGTATCACACTATGCTACGCTTGTGTAAGTATAACGGGTATTTACACTTTTAACATGACTAAAGCATCTATATGAAGATGAGACACATATTGCAAGCAAAATAAATTTAACACATTTAAAACAAAAAAATCTTAGGGGGGAAAATGTAGTTCACGATTAAAAAACAGTTGCTCTCGCAAGTTCAAAAATTATAGAACAATCCAATTTTGGTTTCATTTTAAAGTTTTTCGATTGTTGGACTAATGTATACTGATTGCAGAACAATGATACAGTGTTACCACGAGTGGGGGTGTGACCAGTCTATCAAATCAGGTCGCTTACTGGGGCTCGATCGAGAAATTTCTGATTTTTAAAACTCTGAAAAAAATGAAACAGTTAGCCCATTTTAAAACCTGCTAGAAAGAAATGGCTATATAATGTTTCAAAGAAATCTTAGTCCTAAAAAATGCAAATTTATTTCGAAAGGTAAACAACATTAAGATTTTAAAGTTATTGTTTGCAAAAATCCTTTGTAGCAAAAATTTAAATTCGATTTACGAAATGACCTTAAAATAGAAAAGCAGCCCTAATATGAGCCTTTCGCATTTTTTTTTACAATTTTCCTGATTAAATTGTTGTTGCTTTAAAAACGAAGAGCTATACACGGTTTCAACAAGATCTTAATCCTAAAAAAAGCAAATTTATTTCCAAAGGTAACCAACATTAAGATTTTAAAAAGAATGTTTGCAGAAATCCTTTTAACAAAAAATATAATTCGATTGACGAAATGACCAAAAAACAGAAAAGCAGCCCTTATACGAGCTTTTCGCATTTTTTTGAAGTTTCCATGATGGAAATGTTTTTGTTTACCGAATAGTTTGTAAATTAAAATCAAATACGCTGGGTAATATTAAAAAGAAGCCCCATTTTTGCAGATATTTTCAATTTGCTTTTCGGTACTGAGCTTCGATTGAAACAAAAATTTGCAACACAGAGACGAAGTCGCACTTCGCAAACTCACGCGAGAAAACTGCAAGAAATAGCTCGAAAAAGTGAAAAAAAAATGAAAAAGGAAAAAAAGTTAAAATATGCCTTGAAAAATTAAACTTTTGTAATGTACCGGAACTGAATCTCCAACCTCGCGATTAGAAGTTTCAAAAATTACTACAGGAATTAATCAATGTGACAGAACAAAACTATTTCAATGTACCCAAATAAACCTGTAGATTACGAGACTCACGTCCTGGCATATGCGCGACGTTCTCATAGACAATGCTATTATAATGTGAATTTCTAAAACAATTCATTAAAACTTTTTAAATAAAATTAACCCAATTTGTGACACAAATTACAACACAATTCGCAAACACACAAAAAAAGACAAAATATCAAAAGCAAAAAAATAGAAAAAAAAACTTTTTTAAAAAAGGAAATTTGAAAATTGAAATGATCTCTACTGGATTTGAAACTAAGTTCTCGGACATTCAAGTTTCCAGATGACTGCCCTAAATGATTGTGCCATTGACTTTTCAAAAAACTAAAGACGAGCGGATAAACGGCAGAAGGGAGCTTCAAAATGCACAAAAACGCAACTTTTGCATGTAATAATTTGAAATGTAATACGCTAAAGCCAACCATACTAACTTTGCATGTAATAAATTTTTAAGTATAAAGGCAAATTGTGAATAAATTATGCATTTCGAAAACTTCAAAAATTAAATTGAGTTGAAAAATTTCTTTTTTCATTATTGTACTGTTTTATGAAACAAATACCTTTTTTTTAGGTTCACGTGATGAATTAAAAATGTATCAACTGTGTTATTTTATCAATAATCAAATGTCAAAACATGGGACTATTAAATAGCCAATTCAGCCTCCTACTGCAAGACTGCCAACAAAAAAGTAGCACCAATAATTGCGATTAGGTTGGAAAAAGTAGCTTTGTAGTATCACACTAAGCTACGCTTGAGTAAAAATTGAATCAATAAGTAAACTTTTTATTCCGCTGGGAAATCTGAAAATTAAAATCCACTTTCAAAACTAAAAGTCGATCAGATTTTTTGTGATCTTCACACTTTTGCTGTTCGATAGTGGAATTTGGTTCCCTGAAAAAAATTATCACGACCGATACAAGAGATTTCACAACGTTCATTGACCCTTACTCACTCCAACTTATAACAAGATTTACCTTGAGAGTCAAACCGGATTGCGATGATTGGCCTCTATCTGACCAATCACAGAACAGCTCCAGACTGTCCATTGATACTCCCAGGTCCCTTAAACGAAGAGCAAATCGACTATCATTTAAACATTTTTGAAAAAATTGAGATCGAACAAAAGGACTACTTTTCCTATCATAAAGCCCCGGCGGTATTAATTTCAGTTCAATTTACGTTGAAAATGCTCTCATAAAAAAGTTTTTGATCATAAGGGATGCTATTGAATTCAAAAAGTGAATAAATTTTGTAGTTAGAATTGATGATTAGTTGTATTCCAACCTAGCTGCCTGCTGTCTGAAGGCATTGAGGAATATATTCGGCGTGAACAGGTCAGACAAGTCCACTGGTTCTCTGAACAGACTGCTACTGTCTTGAGGATTGCTCTTCACCTTGAGATACCATCGCTCCACACTGGCTGCCTTGCTGACAACACTAGACAGATAGTCCAGTGGATCCAGAGGTCCTTCACTCAGAGACAGCCAACTGGTCGGCGTCTGAAATGGCGTCATATTTGATCAAAATAAATTGAACTTAAAATTTCATATACAAAAAACCTTAGACATTTGTTGTCGACTAGACAAATTGATAAAAAGCAGAAAAGTTTCTTTGAATATAAGACCTTTTGCTACAAAACGGAGCAAATTAAAATGACGCAAAAAGTAAATTAGAATATTTTGCAGCAACATATTATCTTCAAAATTTGAAAACATTACTGATTTGGCTAACGATTCAATAATGAGCCGATTTGATTTCTCTTTAAAACTGAGAAACGAATAAATTTTGTGTTCTTTTCTTGAGTTGAAAAGTGAGCAATTCGTAAAGCTATACTTTTTCCCCTCAAAATGTTAAGGTTAAAATCAATGTTAAAATCGTGTTCAGTTCAAGCCTAAAATAGCGAAAGTGAGCTACAGAATTTTACTAATTTTTTACCTCTCTCTTTAGCAGAGCAGACGCCAGTTGTCTGATATCAGTCGTGATCATGGCCTTGCCCTTGAGCACTTTGGCCAGTGCAGTTAGAGACTGGTGTATAGTGTTGATCAGTTTGAGAGCATTGAATCTCTCCAGTTTCACGAAGGACGAAACCGGACTCTCCTTCTTGCTTCCCTTGGAGGAGGAGGCATCGGACCCCATGGCGTAGTTACCGATTTGGTGCAGCATCCCACTGTCCGTCACGTTCTCCTCGCGCTAAATTCAAAAACGGGTATTCATATTTATTGCAAAAAAACATCGATTCCGAAAATATCTGTTTGGTTATATAGACATAGATTTAAACAAGCTGTCAAAAATTGCTTAAAATTTTCCGGCTAGGCCTCAGTGGAAATCTCCTTAGCCTTTGTTGTTTCAAAGCTGCATAAAAACGGAGCATAAACGCCACTTAAAAAGAGCTCATAAACTCACATATAAACACAGATGCGAGGCGGACAGAATCACACTACTTGCGATACAAAAATGAATGAATATATTTACGTACAAATTAATATTTTTTGGAACAAAATTACCTATCCCGTAGTGACAAAAACTGATTATCTACAGAAAAATATATAGATTTCAGATCTGCTACATTTTATATAGTAATAATTCGGTTATATAGTTTTACACAGAGGCGAAGTTGCGCTTCGCAAACACAAGCCAGTAAAATGCTAAAAAAGAGCTCTAAACAGGCAAAACAAACTGAAACAAGAAAAAGATTTAAAATATACCTTGAAAATTTTTTTTTTTGAGTTTAGGAGCATCATGTTCTCACATCTGCTTCAGAACCGCTTATTATTTTACTAACACCAATAAGGCAGCTACAGTTTCTATCAAATTGCCAATGTTATGCAGCAAACAAACGACTGAAAAAAAAATATTTAAATGTTCTGGACTTGAATATCCAAGCCACTGTCGCTTGGAAGTAAACTAGTGGCCCAGCTAATGCTAGATCTACCTGTTCTAATAATTTTAATCATATTTTGACCCGATACGAAAATGCGTAGTTTTCAAAATTTCAAAAAGTAGACTTAACGCTAAACCCTCGTGTTTATCTGCTTAAGTAGGGGATAAATCGCCAACTTTAAGGAGAAAACTACTACTCGCTCTTTCAATTGAAGTTTTTATCTCGGATTTTGGCCGGGTAGACTTTGAAAAAAAAAGCTAAAAAGATTCCAAAAATCGATCAAAACTTCAAAATTATGAAATTTTCTCAATCCATAAGGAACCCTGGTGTTTTTCTGCTTAAGTAGGGGATAAACCGCCAATTTAAAGGAGAAAACTACTACTCGCTCTTTCAATTGAAGTTTTTATCTCAGATTTTGGCCGGGTATATTTTGAAAAAAAAAGGCTAAAAAGATTCCAAAAACCGATCAGACATTCAAAAATATGAAAATTCCTCAATTCATAAACTTTTCCTTAGTAAAGCATGGGAATAGCCTATTTTTCACGCCCTGGTTCTCAAATTGAAGATTTCGGCACCCTGATTTTTTAGATTGAACCCTTAATATCAGATTTAGCAAGTAGTTTTCAAGAATAGTGACGAAATTTCAAAAAAAAAAGAAAGAAAAAAACTTTCTGAAGTCAAAATCAGCTTTTCTACAAAAACACAGGGAAAAGACAGATCGCACAGGAAAAATTTAAGTACCTCAGAATTAGCAGGTAGCGAAAAATTGAAACTTCTGCGAAAGGCGCAAACATTTTCCAGAGCGTCGCGAAAAAAAAAACGAAAAACAAATCCCATAGATTTTCATACTACGTTTTTTTTCAAACCGGACCTAACACTAACCAATAAAGCAGCAACATATGCCATTAAAATGGCTATGCCTAAATCAGCTTAAATATGATTAAACTGAAATTTACCAATAGTGCCACCAAATGAGCACTTTTATTTGCAATTTAGGTTAGAAAAAAAAACCTTCGTGATAATACACCACGCTTAGCTTGTGTAAAAAAGTGATTGCAATGCATTTTGTATTGAAAAGTCTTATACTCTTAATTTTAATATTTTTTTGGTAAATAATCGATAAAATCGATCACTGTTCGGAAAATAGTTGCAGATAAACCGATTCTACACTTGAGTTAATCGGTAGATTTGTCTGTGTATAATCGATTTTTATCCATTCTTTTTTCACTGCGGGGCACTACTAAAAGTTTTATAAAAGGCATGTAAGAAAAAAGCTGCACCTTCACAGAAAAATGCTCTGCTGGACTGTAGACACAGTACAGCTTCAAAAAACTTTCAGCGTCCAAAATTATGCCAACCAATTTATGGTATCAAATAAGAAATTATCAAAAATATGCCAACTAAGTAAGGAGTTTATTGACGATGCATCTCACCTGGAGCACGTTTTTCCAGTGGTTCAGGAACGGGGATATCTCAACATTCCACTTCTCCCGCTGGAATGTCTCGGTGCTAGTCACAGAAACCAACAGTTTCAGCTGGTTAATCACTTGGCCACTCTTGATCACCTGGGCGGATCTCTCTATGTTAGGAGGGAGGCCGAACAACATCGGACGGTCCTCGCCTATCTGGCCAATGAGAGTCTGGAACGCCTGGACACAGAAACAAATCATGTTAAGCATTGTCTGTGAAAAAATTGGGTAAATTCCATTATGTGAGAAAACTATTCATTTTAGTTTGACGCCTCAAATGAAATAGCTATCTCCAAAAATTTGAACCTCGTATAAGTAATTTTGTCGCATGGCCAATTTATATTATTTTCAAGAGGCATTATCGCGACAAAAGTTCTCAATATCATCATTTATGACGTACTGATCGAATTCGAAATCATCAGTATTTACCAAGCGCACGGAGATATTACTAAGCGAAAGAACATGTATGGCCGAACCATGATTAACAAGCGAATTGTTATTCATCACACTTTTATGAAATACCTTGATGTTAGTTGAGTTGGGCAAAGGGGGTATGGCGTCGGAGAGTTGTCCAGATGAGGCCATATTGGAGTTGAAGTACCTCCTCAGATATGATTCGAGCACCTTCATGTCGAACGAGTTGTCCACTCTGCCACCGTAGATCGCATTCTTGAACAGACCATGAACAAAATCCCACTGCAGGTCCCCACCACCTCCTCGTCCTGAACAGGTCAATACCGGTCAAACTCTCAAAATGGCTCGACCATAAATTCATTTTAACAGAAACTGACATTCTTAGAAAAAGTATGTAGCAGGTAAACTTAAACTGTCGTCAAAAATTATATCAATCACGACGACTTTTCTATAGACGTAGGATTATGGCGCCTCAAAACAAATGATATTGTAATGAATGCTTCTCAAATTTTTATCATGCAAATTTGGTATCCTTTTGATATCAGCTTGGGGTAACAAAATTGCTGATAGAATTTTCAATGATGTGGAAAACAACTGAGCGTTCTCAAAAACCAACAATCGCCTTGCAAACCTCCTTGTTCCGCCAAGTTTGTAATGATATCCGCTCCGGACCTCAAATCTGCCAGGCTAAACTCATAGAATTTAGTCCACCCCTGCGGAATATAAGTCCTCCTCTCCTCTACCACAGCATGAAACCAAGCCAATGCAAACAGTGCTTTGCTTCTTTGGGGGTTGTCTCCTTTGGCAAAGAACTGAGGAGTCCAGTTCTGGAATGTCCTCTCGATATTACTTCGCACACCAGGTGGCGACTCATAGGTTACCTAGATCAAATTGCATTAAATTCGCAAAAATAAAATTTTGCATTAACACCAGCATGCATTTCACCTATGAAAAAAAAAAACAATGACAGTTTGCCTCGAAGGAAAGATTTTAAAAAGTCTTTAATCGAAACAACCTAATTTTCCCGATTTTTGTTCTATTTTCCGATAGAGAAATAGCGGAACCTGTCACACTACAGGTGATCAACAAAAAATTGAACCAAAAGTAATTTGGGTTTTAAATGTTTGTATACCTTCAGACAGCTCTGCAGAAGGACTGTGGGGAAATTAGGATGTGGCTCAGCTGTAAGGAACAATCTGAAGTTATTGTGCGGAGAGAGGGAGTTCAGTTCCTTTTCCAGAGTGGGCAGCCAGGCTGTGACCAGATGGACGTTCTTGAGGCACAGCCATTCACCCGAGGAGGCACAATGACGCAGTTTGTTAATGGCAATTTCGGACTGACCTTGCCCCATTGCAATCTAAATATATCATTTTCAAATAGTGATCACTTGCTTGTCTGACTCGAGAGGACAGAGCTGCTTCACATGCAGAGCTGGTCAATAAAAAACAGGGGTTGTTTTAAACAGTAAAACTGTTTTAAACACTGTTTAAAACATGACTCAATTTTAGTGTTTTAAACAGTGTTTCATGTTTCGACTGCGAGGGCGCAATTATTACGCAATTTAACTGGCAGCTGTTACTTGATTCATCCAAATTAACACGTACAGTGCAGTTCTTTCAACAAGCTATCAAGTGCGCATTTGCCATGCAAGTTTTGCTGACAATGGGGTATGTGGAAGGGGACCTCAGGAACAGCCTTTCCTCAGAGAAAACTGAGAAACTAGCATTTTGTATGCGTTGCTTGAAAAAATAAATTCTTGCAAAAAAAACATGTTTTAAACTGTTTAAAACGTTTAAAACAGTTTTAAACGTTTTTTTTAAAAAAAAACATATTTTGACCAGCCCTGTTCACATGCTAACTGAACGCGTACGAAAGCATGTTGCCATTTTTCTGGCTCCAGGCAATTACTTTTGTCTGGATGACAAAATGTCCAGTTTTTCCTTCAAATACTATAACTAACTTAAGATTTGCGGAGTCGACTTTCTTGAAAGACATAAAATTCTCTTTTTGAAATTTGATTTTCGAACAATCGCTAAAAATGACGCTGTTTTAAAACCGTTTTTACAACATGGCAGCCCAGTACAAGTCTAGATCAAGCCTTTAGGGTTTCACTTGGCATTTTTCGCTAATGCAGGACTCTCAATGAATAAAAATATGAATAACCATTTCTTACAAATATTAAATATACTTTAAAAGTCCCTATTTAATCAAACTTCAAACATGAATCCAAAACTAACTTCGTAAAACTGATTCTTATCCACCACTCCCACTTTCTCCACCAATTCCTGCAACTCTCTGCTGGGATCCGCCCCAGGGGAGACTATGAACAAAACAGGCTCAGAGGGGAGTGTCTCTTTGTAGATTTTCTCGATGTTGGTGGCCGATGTTTGAAGGGAGGCAAGGGAGAGAGATTGGGCTGCGAACACTTTCATGGCACTCTCTAGTCGGTCCGGTCGGAGGGCTTGTACCACAAGCAGCTAAAAAACAATAAAAAAAATAATTTAATGGAGGTTGAGGTCTAGAAATTTGTGATTGAAACAACAATTTTTTTTGAGGAAAATGGATTTGTGAGCATTTTTTTTAAATTTCTACAAAAAAAAACATTTTTAGCACATAAATTTATTCTCGCAAAGGACGATCATTTTTTTTGGATTGATCAGACAAAAATGCGTGTAGCCAAATAGTACCAAAACAATGCCTCTTTAGAATATAGCATGGCGACATATTGCGACACGAGTCTCAAATGGCGCTTCGAAGATAGTAAGAAACAGCTTTTACTTTCTGGAATGGTGTGATGGACTTCTGAATGTGGTGGGGGAAGTGGGTTGGCTTCTCACACTCGTCACTCTGCCAGAAGTCACTCCAGGCACTCTCGTCGTGCAAATTGAGTCTACTGTACAGACTAGGCAGCACACTCTTGAGAAGCACCAGAGACTGTTCACACTCCTTGCCACCTGAAGTTTTGACTCATTAACTATCACAGACTGTACTAATTGGTGTAAATGTTTATTCATAAGTTAATTCAAAAGTTGGCACGAATGAATAAAATTTATAAGCTACTCTTTTCCTAGGTAAAATCTTTTCCTGGGATAAGTTTGCTTTAAAAAAGATGTTTGAATGGAAAACCCGGGTGAATTCAATTGAGGCAATCATTTATTTGATGCTGTGAATTTCGAGAACCTAGTTTCTCAATTTCAATGACAGCAAAACTTGAATGACCCGCAGAGCAGGTAAGCCTTCATGATTATGAATTTGAAATCGCACACAAACTTACTATCTGTTAAAACACAAAACAAGATCGACTTTATTTGTACAAAAAGCTGATTTTGATTTTTGAGTGGGACAATTTCTACCTGACTGCTTGAAGATCCACTTCATCTCATCTACGTTCACTTTTCCACTCAAGGAAGCTGTACGCGTGAACAACTCCCACTCCTAAAACATTATCGACCTAGATGTCCCTGTCTGATCCCAGAATCGAAAGTCAGTCTGAGAAAAATTTCGTTTATATCTACGCTTTTTTGTATTCTTCAAGCAATGGTGATATTTAACATTCAAACTAAAATTTCTAAGAAACACTAAGAGTTCTGTCTGATGATAAAGACTGCGCTTACATTGTGCTGGAACTTGTCGTGGTTAAGCATGTGTGCGAGGTGAGTGGCGAAAGTGAGTGTGTCTGCCTTGAGGAGGGAGCGACTGACTTGTTCGAACACCATCTGCACGAACACCTTCTCCAGACTCACGATCCTACTCTCACTTCCAGCCTCACTTCCTGTCTGAAATGGAAAAGTCGTAATTTACAACAACAAGCAAGGGATTCATCTATCGCCCAAAACAATCAGTAAAATAAGAAGCATTTCACAGTTAGCACAATTGCAAAGGCAAGTTTTTGGCTATCAACGGTACCTGCTCCGTGTTGAGCGCACTGCAATTGAGGATTTAATAATATTAGTAAATGACCTCAATTTATACTTTACTGATATCAGGACAATAAAAAATACTCATGAAGTATAAACTCACTTCGTATTCAAGCGAACGTTGGAACAGTCTTATAAAAGACGCCAGTGAGAATTTGTACATGTTGCTGATCCGGTGCAGGTCTGTGATTATGAAATAAATCCTGCTGGCTCTCTTGGCCAGAGGCAGAAACGCATTCCTCTCTTCAGTTAAGTTCTGCTGGAGTCTTTGCGATTCCTGAAGCGAGTTTGAGATAGTAGTGCTGCTCTCTTTGGTCCTCGCAAGGGAATCGATGAGTTGCTTATTCTCAAGGAGGTTCCCCTCAGCTGTAGCGAGACTCTCGAGCAGTTCATCTTCTAGTTTGACTAGCTGCAGCTTCAAATTCTCTTCCTAAAAATATAAGAAGCCAAATTTTCGGATCTTCAAAAATTAATTTTTTAAAAACACTATGAAGATTTTTTTGGTTAAGAACGCTGGACTACGTACATTTGATTATGTACTAGTTGAATTTGAAAAAGCAAAATCACTGAGCAATAAATTGAGGAAAAATTCACCTGCTCAAGCAGCTGTGACTGTCGCTCCTCCAGCTCAGGTTTCTCATGTTTGATTGCCACTCCCAATAACTGTCCCTCCAGCCCGGCTCTGGTGGTGGTGAAGTTGACCTCAGTAATGACTGAGGCGACATCAGGGGGCAGTTGAGGGGATGGGTTGCGGGTGGCGAGGAAAAGACGAAACTCAGGGTTGTAGTCTACTAGTTTATCGCCGACCAGAACCATCTTCCGCGCTCCTATGAAATAGAAAACACTCGTTTTTTATTGTAATAAAAATCAACCTTACCCAAGAAAAAAAAATACATTCAGCTCTCAAAAATAACCAAGAAATTGTTTAACGGTAAAATTAATTCAGCCAAAACTTGTTCCAAACCATTTCATATGCAACTGTATGGTTTTTTATATTGAAAGGACCAAAAATTAGCCCTACCATTGAAAACTTTTTTGCCAAAAAAATTACAAAAACATAGCCAACAGTTACTTGGAAAAAGTGTCAATGAACACAAGGAAACAAAAAAAAGATTTTTTGAAGTTTTATTTCTTTTTCGAATAATGAAGAAAAACATACACCAAGTTACAGGTGTTTGAATTCCAAACCATTTTTTTTTATATTTTAGCGCTTTTTCCATAACTTTAATCCAACTAAAGAAATCTCTTCTTGAGGAAGTTTTTTCAGTTGGGAATTCTGGAAATTATAATCAAATTTTGAAAGTAAAAGTTGTTCACATTTTTTCACTTTCGTAATTGGTGAACGAAATTTCTCCATTTTTCAGCAAATGAAATTGAGTTGAATTTCAAAGAAAGAGGCAAGACAGAGCTTCGCTTAACTTGTGATACAACACGAACATAGCAGATATAAATTGAAACAAAAACAAAATTTTTTTTGAAAATGCCGAGAAAAACTACATCTATCAAATTTTCTTAACTTTGAAAAAAGATGCCAAACAAGACAATCGAAAGTTAAGGTAATACCGATAAGATAAAAACTCATTAACTTTAATGCCGAGTACAAATACGAAAAATATACCAAAACGGAGTTATTGAAAAATAACCATTCATTAAAACTGGTGTTATTTTAAATGCAGAGAAGCTCAAAGTATGTCTGCTAGCTGACGAAAAAGCAGATTTTGAGATAATGATTCAGTTATTTTGTCGGACAAGTTGCTTGCAGGACACACTGTTTAAAAAAGTCTACGTTCCAAATTGATAAAGCCTGCTAATCGCAAGCATAATAATCACATGCGTAGTAATTACGTGCAAAACAACCGACGTAGCAAAAAATTCAAAAAAAAAGTTTTTTTTTGTAGCTGAAAGAAATTGTATAGAAAACGTTCAATGCAGAGGCAAAATTGAGCTTCGGTCTAGTAGCGATATAACAATTAAGGGATGAAATTACTACTACGCTAAAAATAGCAAACAGATCATCGAATTATGTTACAATTGCAGAAGGAAGTTAAAAAAAAATGAGAAAAAAAATAAAACAAAACCTGGTTTTTCTTCGTAATTGAATTCATTGTTTTTTTTTCAAATGGTCCTAGTGAGATTGAATTTAGGCATCTAAAAAGCTGGTGTTGGAGTCCTATTGATCTCAAACATACTACCGGACACTTTACGAAAAAACGGTAAATAGGCCGACAGAATAGAAGCCGACATCCAATACGCAGAAACTCAGCCAAAAATTGTCGTCAAAAAACATAAAGGAAAAAATCTTATGTAACGCCCACAATAGATCCACGATAGCTATAAAGTTAAGTATAGTATGCAAAGCAGACGACATAAATTGGAAAGTAAACCGACAGAGAGTAAATAAAGAACCATGAAGCCGAAAAACCATCAGTGGAAAGTTAATATCAAAACTCTATGCTTATACATACAATGGTGTAAGGTCTAGATATAGCATGAGTAGTAACTAGTATCCGGTGGTTCAATCGGAGCTTTCATGAACCTGAGCTGATGAAACGGAGCTCATGAAATCATAAGTGATTCAACTGATTTTGTTAAACTAGTTGTTAACCCGGAAAAAAGTATTCCGACTTGATAACGCTTACTAATAATAAAAAAAAACTGAAGTTCCCCGAAAAATGTCACTCAAATACATCAAGCAATAAGCCTACAGAAATTTAAGAGAAAGCGGAATTTTCGAAAAGAACCCGTGCTGCGTTAACTAGGCCGACAAATATAAACAAAAAAACCAAAAGCCCTAATGATGGCCCAAAAGTCCGAATGATTCGCAAGCACTAGCAAAAAAACGACAAAAAGTAGCTCCATAAAAACTTTGCTCTACCGGAGTCGATCCTACGACGAGAAAACGTATAGTCCTTGTCCTCACATCTGCGCTACGAACCCTGGTAACTTGCAAGCACTAGCCACAAATAAAGCAGCTACATATGCTAATAAAACTCCAATGCGATGCAACAAAAGTGGCACCAAACACAAATAGACACAGTTTAGCATGTAATAATTCAAACACAGAGGCAGAGTTGCACTTCGCATACACAAGCAAAAACATGACCGATAACGCTACTAGAAAAAACTGAATGACTAAAACGTTGAGTCTACAAAAATTCTTAAGTGACGCACGCCATTTATGAGTCTAAACAATTATGACGCATCAGTAGTACCAGTCAATTTTAAAAAATTACCAACTAACATGACTCAATTTATAGAGCGGACGCATTTTAACTAGTATACGAAAAAGTGCACTAGAAACATCCGACCCTGTCCTGGTTCGAACCCTCTTATTTTGCTGCGGGTCTCCTTCTCTACCTCTACGCTATGATCCATGATAGCTTGAATAAAATGCTATTTGTAGTATAACAGTCTGTGTTAATATCCGTAGCATTGGCTGTACTTAATAGCTGGTTATTGATCAAAATGAACACTTTCAAAATGAACTCTGTCGCAATGAATATTTGCGACTCAGGTGGGAAAAAAAGAGAGTTCATACAATCACACAAGATTTGCTTGTGTAAATAGAACAGACAGGCATCCACACTAACGTTGCATATATTAAATTTGAAAGCATTCAGCGAAATTTTTTTATGAATAATACTTTTCAAAAAAATTGCAAAACATATTCAGTTTAAAAATTTCTCAAATCAAGTTTTATTTTTGTACTGTTGTTTGAAACAAATAGCTTTTTTCGGTTCATTTGATGAATGAAAAAAGGCATCAACTGTGTTAACTTATTACTAATCAAACGTCACAGCACATGCTTTCAAAAAGACGTAAATTGACACCAAAATTTGCAACTATTGGAAAAAAAAACTCGTACCATTACAGTACGCTCGCAAATTCGATAGTGTACAGAAATGTTACTTTTACGTGCAAAATTTGAAGGACAAAGTTGCTTACGATAGAAAAAGTCTAGTAACCGGTTGCAACACGCTTGCTTATCGCAAGGGTAAAGAAGTCAAAAGTCAACCCCGAACAACCAAAATTATGAACAGGTTATGAACAATTTGTAAGACTTTTCTTTAAAAAACTACCTAAATATGCGATAAATCACTTCATTCATTACAACTTAATAAACCATCGAAGTAAAAATATCAATTAAAGTTGCTAAAATCAAAGGTGGGAACTGCTATTTTTTGCACAACAAAACTAAGAAGCAATGCAATTCAGATGCAAATCAAACTGACCTTGAGCAATGAGGTCTCCTCTGAGGATCGGAATGAGCAATGGCTCCACACTGTCCACCTCCTGAATCAGCAGAGTCTTGCCAAACCGCACAGCCAATTCCACACTGTTGGCCAGGGAGGGGTCCTGCTGGCTGACTACTTCCAGTCTCTGGTCCTTCAACTGTGCCTTGAGGAATTCAGAGGCACGTTTGGAGGGGTCCACTAGGAAGGGTCTCAGGGAGGCCTACAAAGTTTTCACGAATTGAAAATGTGATAATTTTGAGTAAACGTTCTGATGAGACGAGATATTATTTTTAGAGTTATGACAAAGGAGCCATTCAAAACTCTGAGCATTGAACACATATTATTCTAAATCTAACGAAGATGAAAAACTCATGATTTCAAAAAATCACACAATACTTAGAACCTGACCCAAAAAACAAATAAAAGAATAGATGACGAAGAGCTGAGAGGAGATGTGTACACATAGCCACAAGATCTAATATCGATAGGTACTTACGCCAAGTTCAACTACTGCTAGCTGCATAAACAAACCAATCAATTTATTACACGGAAAACAGCAAACAGTCAGAAACTTTTGATTTGATTTCTGTTGTCACAGTTTCTACATTTCATTTATCGCTGCAATAAAAACTGAACTCACCTGAAGAATGACAATGGCATTCTCCAGCGACAAATTATCGGAGGGCAACCCTTTCGATTTCCACACCAGCTGCTCACTCTCCGAACTCAGGAACCTCTTCAGGTTGAACTCACTTGACCCCTGACTACTATCTCCCCCGTAGACTATGTGGGTCCAGATCGAAGTGACAGCTGACCTGACGTCTTCTGGTTCTCCTGAGAGGTAGGTTATGAAAGCAGCTGCTAAGAGTGCTTTCTGAGGAAGGAGACCCAGGTCACTCTCCAATTCTTTCATCTGTGAACAAACGATTTCAAATTAATTTAAGGATTGGATTTTTTCCAAACCAATATCTAAAATATGTCAGAAACCAGAAGCTTCGTTTCAGCACAATAATCAATCAACCGAATTGATTGTACGGACATCAGGGCGGATTTAGGATTTTCTCGAAGGGGGAGGCGGATTTCCAATTTTTTTTTCGAAATAGTCAACTTTTTTTAGGTTGACCAAATTGATTTCCTGAACTCTCCCAAACACCGATAAAGACCCTAATCTGGCCAAATTTTCTGCGCCGAATGGAAATTTGGAAAAAAATACATGCCAAAAAGGGCGTTTCAGGCATTTTTTTTGAAATAATTTGACCAGAAAATCGTGTTTTTCGGCACGCGCTCCCCCAAAAAATTAGTATATGTTGGCGCCAAAGGCGTCATTAGGAAAAAATTTTAGGGTCGGTCAGCCAAAAATGGATGTCTTAAAACAGTACTACCGGGTTCCCCTCCCCCATCCCCCTCCCCTAAATCCGCCCCTGACGGAGACAAAGTACGGTTAATCCAAGAAATCACAAGCACGTGGAATCGGTCGGTCAACATTAAACATGAACACGTTTTTTTTTCCACAAACATGGCCGTTAGTTAGAGAGCGTTTTGCTGCCAAATGAAAAATGTAACAAATTTAACTGTAGATTGTAAAAAAGATATCATGATATACGGCACAGGATGCTAGGTATAACGATACATTATGACCAAAAACAACCATGGAAACTCAAAAAATTTTGATATTCAAAACATTTACATGAAATTTTTGACGCAAATCTATTCAAACTCCAAGTGTTCTAGAAAATCCATTCTCCTAACCTGTTCGTTCCACCTGACAAATTCGTCCTCCAACTTGCCCACCAGCAACTGTGCCGACTCTATAGTCTCCTCGGCCCTCTTCACATCCATCTCCAGCTGCGCAGCCTCCGCAAGTCCCTTGTTCAGTCCCGCCTTCTTCTCACTTATCACTGAAGTCAGTTCTCCCAGATCGGATTCCAGTTTGATCAGCTGGCGTTTGTATTGGGACAGTTCGTCTTCTAGTTGACGCGCTTCTTTTTCAAGTGGTTGCACCTGAAATTTTTCAATATTTGCCCTTTTTTTTTTACTTTTGAAGACAAAAAAGCTTCAAGCAACCAGAAAACTTTTGAATATGTAACTGATTTTGAAGATCTTTTGAAGAACTCAAGGAATTGAAAGCCGATGAACTATGTTACCTCTTAAGCCACTATCACGCACATTGAATTATTCTTACCATCATTTATTTATGCTCATCTTCACCCATTTTACACTGAATACTTAAAATCAGTAGACTCAAAATGGCGACGAAGAGCCAAAAACTGAACAAGGGCAAGCATCAATACTTTTAGTTTAACGAAATAATTCATGCCATGTGAAAAAACTTCAACTGCTGTCATTTCCCACATTAGTTTTAGATCTTCAAACTTAGGAGGTAAATCATCGTCAATTTTCCGTAAATTAGGATGAAATGGAAGTGACTGACCTCGATGTACACGTCTGAGAATCTGAGCTGAGCATTCATCCACTTCCACAGAGGCACGATGGCAGAGGAGCTCCTCTTGACCTTTTCCTCCTCGAAGGAAGCCGAGTGCTGGGACATGAAGTTGCGCACCTTGTCCTTCCTCTCCTTGGAGAACATGCTGCTCTCGAAACTGTTCACGTCTTCCTTGAACGTCTTACTCATCAGGAAACTAGAAAAACACATGCGCAAGCGCATATTTTAACTTGTAGTGATTCAATGACATGAAGAACTACTTATTGAATAGATTTAAACATCATTACAAATAAAAAAAAATTGTATTGAAAATAAATTGATTCGTTAAGAACTCAACTCATAAAAAAAGTAGCTTACTTTTACATTTATCATTGAAATCAATCACGATCTGATACAATTGATATGGACATTATCCGCCTACATCAGAAAAAAGAGCAACTTCAAGACAAAAAAGTATTTATTTTTACAAACACTCAACTTTATTCTGAACTTTACCTTTTGATGGCATCCCAGGATGTGTCATGTCTTCCGAGGACCATCAGCACTCCAGTCATCACCCGAGTGAGCACCTCCGGAGGAGCCTTCATCGACTTAATCTCCGCTATGGCAGAGGACGAAATGTTACTCACTGCCCTTTTGGCTTCTTCCAGGGCAGGTTTGACCCTGTCTAGTTTGCGATCCACTGCTGCTTTGCGGTCAACGGCAATAGACTCTTTGGACGCCAGTTGAGATGTGAACTCTTCGACTTTAGACTTCTTTTCAGAGGCACTCTGAAATCATCGCTCGATTTTATGTAAATTTCATAAGTTCATATTTCACACGGAGGCAAAGCTGAGCTTCGCATGCTTTGCGATATAACTCAAACCAATGAAACACAAAGAAGTTTAAAAAAGAAAAATGTTTAAAACAACTAGGGCTACCAAAATTTAAATTTCCGTACGTATCAATAGAAATCCTTCTAAGCAAACATGCCTGAAATATGAATACTAAACTAGCAACGGAACAAAATTTATGAAGAGGAAACAAAGCCGACAACCTTTGAGCATACGCAATTTGAACCAATTTTTCAAAAAATCTTAAAAGTTTTAGGTCCCTCTCGAAGCTACAATCAGCAACACTTGCACTTGCAATGAAAATTAACAGCGCAAGCATAACCCGTGATGTGACAATGAAGCCGACAATCTTTGAGCAGACACTAGTTGAGCCGAAAAAAAATTATTTGTATAAAAAAATTCAGAAGTTTCAAGTCCCCCCTGAAGCAACATTGAACAAAACTTGCATTTGCAAAAACAATGAAAGCTGCTTACAGCACAAGCAAAATCCGTGGTATGGCAACTAAGCCGGCAAAACTTGAGAAAACAAACGAAAATCCGGTAATTCAAGTTTTGCAGGCAACAAAATTTTAATTGCATATGCTGCAAAAGCAAGGTCCGACCGGCACTCGAACTCCTGAACTTAGGTTGCAAGGCGACCGCCGCGTTACCTCTAGACCAAACCGAAGCTGGTACAGGAGTTCAACAACGATTTTAAGTGATGAGCTGTACAGCTCGTATGTTGGTCCTTTTTCTTGTGGATAACTTAAGAATAACCAGAAGTCAAATAAACAAGAATAGCCGATTGCAGTGGAAGTAGAACAGAATGCTCCGACCGTATCCTTAGAAAAATGCAGTTTTTTGTGCGTGGTGCGATAAAAGGACCTGACGAAAATTTAGAACTTAAGTTTATTCGACAGTAACAGTAAATAAGGCAAATTGGGCATAAGTTTTGACGAAAAATGAAAAGAAAAACAAAAAAATTACGAAAATATTACAACTATTTTGAATTTTTTGCAGACTTTTTGGCGTTTATGAAGTTTTTTTATTCCCAAGACGGCACTGAAAAAATTTTCTGATAATAATTTTACAAAAGTGACATTAAAATTTCATGGCTTATCTCCATATAAAACGTCTGCTAGCTTGATTTACTCGCTCGCAATTCAATTAAAACTCACTAAAATTTTACACAATTTTTCTTGACACTGGGACAACTTTTGAAAAAAAAAAACTAAAAATCGTTCGCATAAGAGCTGATAAAGCTATTTTATGATATATCACTCTTACAATTCCGATAATTATTTGTGGTAACTTCTCGTGGTTGAGAACGAAATAAGCCTTCTCGCTTGCTTTTCTCGCTGAAAATTTTAAAACTTGTTCAAAATCAAAACTTATTAACCTCTTTTTCTCAAAACTGGGACAATAGTTTGAAAATTTTTTCAATATTGTTCGAATCACGACTAACAGGGCTTTAATATGATATATCGTTCGACCCATTCCGATTATTATTAGTGGTAACTAATTTTGCATGGAGAGAAGAAAAAAAAGAAGACAAAACGCATCCGAACGCAAAACTCCTCCCCATTTTTTAAATGGTCGGAACAAAAAAAGGAAGTTGTTAAGCTTCAGTAATAAAGTAAGATTTATATGAAAAATTGTTCTCGACAAAATTTAGTTCCAGATTACAAGACGCCTGCTCTCGCAAGTTTAATTAAGACCAAAAAATGATTCAATAGGACTTCGGGTGACACCGTAGAGAAAAATCATGCCCAAATAGGACTTTGAATATATTTTAAATAGCATTTATATAGATATATAGATAGATAGAATAGATAGAATAGATAGATAGATAGATAGATAGATAGATAGATAGATAGATAGAATAGATAGAATAGATAGATAGATAGATAGATAGATAGATAGATAGATAGATAGATAGATAGATATTTCTGTGCAGGTGTTTTCTTATGAAAAAAAACTAATTTAGCTACAAAACAATTGAAAAAAAACCATACACGCCAGCTTTTTTTATTTTTTACCTGCATGGATAGTGTGATCTGTTCTAGCGCGGCATTGGTCTCTGTCTGCTTGATTGACAGCTGTTTTTTCTTCTCAGCTGCCTCAACCTTCAGAGTATCCACGTGCTCCTTTGCCCCTTTCAGCTTACCCAGGCCTTGCTAGAACAAAATTCCATTATACATTTTACGCGGCGATACTAGATAATTAGACGTGTCGAACGTTTCTTTGATGCATTAAAATTTGAAAAATGCGTTTTTTACAAAGAGAATTTCAAAATTTGAGGGTAGGAAGAGGTTTAAGCGAAGAGTACAAGGTTGTTACCAATCGACGTGGAAGCCTCAGCAGCTTTCATTCGGCATGTCGTTTTTTCTTACCAGACGAACAGTATTTTGTCATTTAAGACCGTTAAAATTGAATAGTTTATAGAAAAAAGATGACCAAATTGCTTAACTGACCCCTAGGTACTGGACCCTGTGGGATATGCTGGCCCGTTTGTTCTCGTAAACTCTCGCGTAGTTCTCAATCAGAGTGCAGTAGCGTCTGGGAGTGGCTATCAGGTTATGAATCATCTCGCCTAAATCACAGAAAGGCCGGATTAGTTTCAGAAGCTACAAACAGCATAAACTGTTCGATCCTTCTGAAAACCGTTTTTATCGATCAAAAGAAAAAATCCTAAATAACGTCCTCCATTTGGTTTGAAATACAGCTATCAAAAATGCCAATGATTTTGAAAATTTTTTCAACCAATCAAAGCACCAGGAATTTTCCGAAAATAATAACTTTGAAGCCCTAGAAAAGATGAAAGATAGAACTCACATCCGGGAGGTAATTTGAAGAGTGAGTCCTGATTCTGCCCTCCATCCTCCCCATCTGTTCCTGCTGATGCCTTGCCGCCCCCACTGTGTCTACCCAGTTCGTCGACACTCTTGTGGATCTGCACGAGGGCATCAACTACACTTTCACTAGTGGCTGACTGCTCCTTGATCTCGTGCTTCTCAATCAACATGCGCGTCAACTGTAAACACCAAAGGAATATGAACAGTAAAAGATTCGCAACGGTTTTTCCTGCAAATCAGAACAGCTCATGTGTTGGTCCTATCCCTCGTGTTTAAATGGGCTTCGTGATAGATTTATGAAAAGCAAAACAAATCACATTTTGTTTTAAAATATCAGCAAGGAATAACTATTAAATCAAAAATTTAAAATCTTTTTCAATTTTCGTTCAAATCTTTCCACACATCCTGATGATGTTTCTCCCTTTCCTAAATAAATGGCTACACCCTCAAGCTTGAATTCTTTTTGAGGGAAATATTAATAAATCAGACCCCAGCATAATGCTAAGAGGTTATCTGCCGCTTTTTTCAGCTACTACTCACACTTCGCATGGACTGCTGTCTCCATTCGTTCATCCACAGCACAGTGCAGCACTTGTAGAGGGAAGGGTTGCTCTCACACATGCCCACAAACTCGCTTCCACTGCAGTCTAACAAGAGCACCACGTGTAGATTGGACTGGACTCTCAGGGCGAAGAAGGAGTGGATAGTTCCTTGGTATCCTTCCTCCGAAGCACGCTCTCTGAACAAAAAAACACAATCACGTAAATCTGCGTTTAACTACGTGAAAAAATTCAAACCAGAAAACGCGGATCCAACAAAAAAACATCCGTGAAAACGCAGCCAAATCGCATCGATACAAAAAAGACCCCAGGGTTCTATTTTGTCCAACCTCGACATTTCAATGAAATCATCGTTCAGATATTTCGTAAAATAGGCTCAGCTTACTGCCTATTTTAATAATAATGTTATTTATGTTTATTCAACATCCAGGCACCTGAGAGGTGTGAGGAGTGGTTCCAGTTCCTCAGGGGTGTACAGTCCTGCCACCTCCCCTGATGCAAGAATGCTATTGATGTATTCCAAGAAATGGCTGTCAATCAACTGCCAGTCCTCCAGGATAAACACAAGATGTTCGCCTTCTATCGCTGCTTTTTGCATACACTGCAAACAAAGCAAAACAATATAACCAAGGAAAATTTAAAAACATTTAAATATTTGGGTATTCGTCATGCTTCGAAAACTTTTTTGAATTTAACAAAACGGAGGAAACAAAAAAAGGAAAATTCCTTTTTATCAACAGGTAAGCTTTTCCACAATAACAATAGAAACCTTGCAAACAAAAATCAACTTACGAGAAATTTCATCATACCCAGATTCAGGGGCGGATCCAGGATTTTCTCGAGGGGGGGCGGATTTTCGAAAAATTTTCCAAAATTTTGACGACCTTTTTTTTTTTTTAGGTCGACCAAATTGATTTTTTGAGCTCTCCCAAAGCACTGTTTTGCGCCTATTTTGGCAAAATTTTCTGCGCCGCAGGCAAATTTTTGAAAAAACAGTCAAAAAAGCCGTTTTTGGGCACTTTTTGAAAAATTTTGACAAAAAAATTGCGTTTTTTTTTGGCGCGCGCTGCCCCTCAAAGTTAGTATATATTGGCGCCGAAGGCGCCTTTAGAAAAATTTTAGGGTCGGTCCGCCAAAAATGGATTTCTGAAAAAGTATCAAAGGGGGGACCCTTTGGGTCGGCAGGGGGTCGAATCCCTGAGGGGGGGGGGCGTCCGCCAAACCCCCCCCCCCCCCCCTAAATCCGCCCCTGCCCAGATTGCAGTTTAAAAGTTTCAACCCTTCATGATGGGACCTAATTATCGCAATTAATAACAAATGCTAGAATTTATTTCCTGTTCCAGACAAAACAATTTCAAATTAATTGCTGAATCTTGATTTAAATTCCATGCAGAATGACATCTGAAACGAAGAAAAACATTACTCGATGAAGAGAACACAACAGAACGAACGGCTTTGAGGTCATTCTTGAACTGTTTGAGTCCATAGTTCCTGGATATCTTGGGCGAGAATATCTGCATGGCGTGCATGTTGGCCACTACGTGTACTGTTGACCTCCTGCCTACCCCACTCCTGCCTGCCATCAGAAGAGCCCCTCCTGGCATGCTCAGGGCGACATCCACTTTGCTCATCGTCTCCAGCACCTGCAGATACCAATACAAAATATGGAACTGGTGAGTAGGCTCATCAAGCTCAATCAAGGAATTATAGTACGGTAAATTCTGCCTAAATCTGCATGCAGGGGCGGATCTAGGATTTTCTCGATGGGGGGGGGCGGATTTTCGAAAAAATTTCCAAAATTTTGACGACCTTTTTTTTTTTTTAGGTCGACCAAATTGATTTTTCGAGCTCTCCCAAAGCACTGTTTTGCGCCTATTTTGGCAAAATTTTCTGCGCCGCAGTCAAATTTTTGAAAAAACAGTCAAAAAAGCCGTTTTTGGGCACTTTTTGAAAAATTTTGACAAAAAAATTGCGTTTTTTTTGGCGCGCGCTCCCCCTCAAAGTTAGTATATATTGGCGCCCAAGGCGCCTTTAGAAAAATTTTAGGGTCGGTCCGCCAAAAATGGATTTCTGAAAAAGTATCAAAGGGGGGACCCTTTGGGTCGGCAGGGGGTCGAATCCCTGAGGGGGGGGGGGCGTCCGCCCCGCCCCCCCCCCCCTAAATCCGCCCCTGTCTGCATGCATGAGCTTTACGTTAAAAAAACCGAAAAAAAAATCCTTATTGTTTCAATTTCATCATCGAAGCATGCAAAAAAAATCAAGGTTTATGCTTGTTTCACCAACTTAAAATATGCACTCGATGTCATATTGCACGAAAACAGTGGAGGCAAAAATACTATCATCAACTTTAATTGGGGTACTTAATCAGTTAGATCAAAGTTTACTAAAACCGACCTCAGAAAATATGCTCAAGTTCAACTCCTTGTTATCTCGCTCGTACATTTCGATTCCCCTCTGCACAATCTGCATGTAACTGTCTTCAGGCAAGTATCCCACACTTTTGCCATAATTAGGCATATCGCTCGCCAATCCGACTCCCGCTTTAGATGTAAACGTGGAGTAGAACCTTTCTTGGAGCTTATGCGATATTCTATCAACTGAGTTTAGTCTTGCACATTGGTCCAGCGCTCTCAGGAACTGAGTGCGACTTTCCTCTCCTACAAGTTTGTCCATGAAGAGACGACATCCCATGAAGGCCCATGCTATGACTAGCTCATCCGGGTCATTTGAGGCCGCCTGCTGGGGACTGGAAGCGAATCGTTTCAGACTGGTAACCCACTTTGTGAGGTCACGAGGGTTGAACTGATAATGGCTGTGTTCGTCACTTTTGTAATTGTTCTTCAGCTGAAAAGCAGCCAATATTTTTTTAACCTCAGAAATTCGAATCTATTACTTAAAATTCAAAGAATTTCAGATTTTTATGGTGTCCTAAATTGTTTGGAAAAGCAAAATTTTGCCGCGACTCGGGATCGAACCAAGGACCTTTAGATCTTCAGTCTAACGCTCTCCCAACTGAGCTATCACGGCTTGACTACGATAATCGGATTTACAAATAGAAACAGATGACATTGAAAATTACCAAGTTGAGTTTCTTTTAAGTAGACCATCAAGATTGCTATATTAAAATACTAAAGCTCACAGCTGGAAAACATCAAATTCACGTTCATATCATTATCAATTACGAGTGAAACACATACCATTTTGTACAGATCCACAGTACTCTTGGCCATCTGTGAGTGGAATCCAGACATCATTCCAGGAAAGATATGTTTGAAGTATATCTCCAAAATGGACACCAACTCTTCGTTGCTCGGATACCCCATAGACGCCACCCGGACTATACTGGTAAAGCGGGATGTGAGTTTGTGTCTGCCCATGGAAGAGCTGTCAATCATAGTCGCCACTATTTGGATGCCCTCGAGACCCACCCACTCCAGGTTGGAATCGTAGAAACCTTTGTACGTCAACACCTGAAAAACGTTTTTGTATAAGTGAAAGGATTCGGTGATCGAAAACTGCTCACGACAAGTTTCAATAACCTTATTTCAATGACGAAGATTATTTCATGAGGTTTGGTGTGATAAAAAAAATGGTTTCTCAGGTAAAAATAACCATAGAGAAACTAATTATTAATGAAGCCCAGTTCAACAAAAAATACACAATTTTCTGATCCACATTTACGATCCTTTAACTTACTTGTTGCAAGAAAGCGATGAGCTGACTGGTCGCCCATTTATCTGGTTTGGGTAAGTTGATGTCCTTCAAGTACAAAATCATCCTTTCAGCTTCTTTTGGTCTGTACACTCTTCCAGTATTTGTACTTATCATCAAACAGCTCTGATTCAATTTCTGCAAAATGTGCTCGGGACTGGTTTGTGCAGAACAGTAAACTGCTGCAATTTGAACTGATCTCAATTGGGCGAAGCAGTGATTTAGCATAACACTTTTCCCGCAACCTTCTGGGCCAATGAGGATGAAAGGCTGTTTCTGGTTAGTTTGAAGCCAGAGGTTGAAGTTGTCCAGGTTCGCCAACGTGTTACGAGTAAGGACCATGGGAAGTTTGCCCGAGGCCTCGTAGTCGTCTGAGATCTCGTCGGATATTTGGTCATCCCTGTAAGACTCGACACGTGCGAGCATTTTGTCGAAGAAGAAATTCGTGGGGTCAGAGCCGGGCACACGAAACCCAATCGTGTTCGAAACCTGAAATGAATCCATGGCCTTCAAAATTCCAAAGTCAGGCATTAAATTTTGAAATTGTCACTTTATTCCAGCAAAAATATGAATGAGCATAAACTCGTTTCATATTTCATCATTTAAAGCCATTAAAGCTGAACGCACTCCAAACGATCACTCCAAATCTTAATACCTCGCGCATGAACCCTTCTTTGTCCTTGACGTTTCCGAGAAAACCTTTGAGTAGTGCAGTCTTGAACTCCTCCTCGGAAATCATGCCTCCCTCTAGTGACGTCAGAGGCACCAGATGGGAGAGTCCATTGAAGATCAGCCCAGTTAAAGATACCTGACAAAATGAACTGGATCAGTTGTCTCTATCTAAGGTAATTGAAAATTGAGCAGTCAACTTTAAAAGAGCTTAAAACTTTATTTGAAACTCTGTAATTATTTGAGTTGAATAATTACCAATACAGTAACTAAAATTCCTCTTGATACAGAAAAAGTCCTATTTTCATCTAAAGAAAAATGAATATCAAAACTGAAATTATAATGATGATAAAATCGTTTACGAGACGGAGCAATTAAATATTCTAGCTAAATTTCGTTGGTTAGTATTATAGCGCTGTTTCAGATTTTCAAGCCAACGGCCTGTTTTCAGGTGCCACTGACGAAAAAAAAAATTGAAAAATGTCAAATAAAGCAAACCAATTTTTTTGTACACCAATGAAGTTCTGTTGCTACCTACTAACCTCGAGGATTGAGTCGAACTTCTTGGCCACTTGTAGGGCCGGATAGAAGTGGTCTCCGATCAGAGCTTCTAGATCTCTCATCGTCTGCTGACTAGAGGGAGACGAGCAGTGGCGAGACAGCCAGGATGCTACCACTGCTTTTTCATTCACGTCTTCATCGCTGAAAAAATTTAAGCGCCTCAAATTGTTCAGCCATGAGAAATTCGCTTTCGAATTCGTGCTTTACCATATTAATCTACGAACAACGCCTTTTTATTCAGTTTCAAATAAAATGACCAGCTATTTGACATTGACACCAAAAGCATACCAATAAAAAAAATCACCTTAGTTATTCCTTTGAAATAACTTATTTTTATCGAAAAAATTAATAAATATAAGATTTTGTTTCAACTTAAATGTACCTTAAGAATATCATGCCCATTCGAGATATGGTAGCAGGGGATGCGCAACTAAGGTCATGCGTCTCAAACAGGAAGTTCACATTGGGTCCGAACTGGATTCTCTCTCCCGAGGGCATAGTCAGCAATCGGTTGTCGTCCAGAACCTAAGTAAAGTTTCTCAAAATATTCTACCACTTTTACCAATATTCTACCATTTTTAGGACCAACTTCGATGATCGAAATATTGGTGACAAAATTTTTGAAACCTTGCTGAAGATATGGACTACCTGAGAACAATACATACAAGTACAGTGTTAAAAAGATGTTCAATTACCCCACGCTAGTGGTAGGCACTACCTACTCCGTCGAAGGCCAATGACACTGGACTAAACAAAGGACGAGACGACGACAACAACAACAGCAACTACAAAAAAAATCCCGCAGATAAAAGGTAAAAGATTGATCATCAGCGACCATTTTTCTTCACACAGAGGCAAAGCGAAGCTTCGCACCACTTGCGAAACGAAACAAGAAAGCCGCTAAGTTGCAATAAATGAAAAAAAAAACTCGAAAATAGCCGACAGACAGTTGGAAAACGGCCAACGAACGCAAGTAGACAGGAAAAAAATTACTGACTTGTAAAAATCCAAACTTTCGAGTTTCCAAAAAAAATTTAAGGCTCTATAAAACTCCAGAACACTTTATGATTGGCATTTTTTCGATAAAATTAATCCAATTTGAAAAAACTGGAACAATAATCAAAATTTTTACCTCGCTGGGAAACCTAAAAAAAAATTCTATTTTCGAAGCTAGGAGTCAATCACTTTATTTGTGACTTAAAGACTTCAGCAGATCGATAGTGGAGTTTGCCTTCCTATTAAAAAAAGAACTGAACTAAAAATACAGAAGTCAAACCCCGAAAAAGTAAGTTTGACCCTTAAAAAGTCAAAAAAAAATCTACCAAAGGAATGAAGCTAGTGTTGAAATAAAAACATGCCAAGATAACTCAATCTGGAATTGGAAGAAATCTTGCCAAGCAGTAACAAAGCCGCAAACACCGTACCAAAAAGCCGAAAGAAAAAATTAAAAAGACATTTAAAAACAATATTAAGATCTCTCACCATCAAAACACATACACACACACATACACGCAAACAAATTCCGCTCGTCGAACAACGCAATATGAAGCCCTTAAACCGATATAACCTTAAAGCTGGGTAAATTTTAAGAAAATTTCATAAAATTTTTTGACAAAGAAAACATTGAAGCTTGCAGCAAAATAAAACCAAAATGAAAGCTCTCAAACATGTTAATAAAACAAGCAGTATTGAATGCAGTTTAAAACACAATAAAAAAGATTAAAACACAATAATTACACAATTACTTCAGATTGTTTATTTTAACCTAGTTGATTACAACTGCTTTAAGCCCGTTAAACGAATGATAAGCAGAGATTTTCAAACTCATTTTAAGCCGAGACAAAATTGGGCCATTATTACTTTTTTTTTCGGCAAAACATGTTTATTTTATACAGTTTCTCGGTTAAATAACATGTCCAAGGAATTATAACATAGTAACACGTATGACTACATTTTTCTTTGCATTTGTCTGATTTCTTAATGTAATAAATTCCATGTTTTTACGCAGCCTCTACCCGCTGAATCTTTGCTCTTTTTATTGTTCGATCAACTCTTTATTTCTATCTGTTAAGTTCTCTTGTTTCTGCGCAGCTTAAATTTCCGAAAACTGCGCTCTATGTTATATGGGATAAGCCTAAAGATTTGATGAATAAACTAAATAGAGTAAAATTCAATTTTACGCTCTTTCTCTTTTTCTCCCCACCTCACAGTAACATGAATTTTAAGGTGTAACGAGTGGTTTTACAAGGTTAATTATGAATACCAAATATGTTTATCATAGCCTAATTCGTCCCTATGTCAATTTTGATAGCAACTGAACAAGGTTAATAAAACTTTTTTTTTGTAAAATTTTGCAGGTGGGGGGGGGGGAAGTAAAAAGAGCCCAATTTTGTTATTGGTATCGTTAATAAAATATCGTTTAGAGGATAAATGAAGACATGTGAAAATAGAAGTGGCTTCTAGACGCGGGATTGGAAGCCGTATCGTTAACCAGCACCCTATCTTGCATTCTACAATTTTGGAAGATTCGTTGAGAAGCTAACTGAAGGTATCATCAAAAATCCACTTATCAGTCCACATGAAGTAGTAAACTTTCAGAGCCATGGAAACGTCTAATTAAAAAAAACTGCTTCCAAGATATTTCACTGTTACTCAAAAACGCAGTGCATCTAGCATGGCTATTGGTGAACCTCGAACCAACAATTATGTGGAGAATAGATAAATGTTCGCAGATTGATTTTCTAGGCTGTACGATAGAGAGGAAACGATCATTCTGATCATACCGAGTTGAGTGACTCAATCCACTCTGGGTCAATGTCCCCATCGCATATGATCCAGCTGTTCACACTCAGGGGCTCCTTCACCACCTGTCTCGCACTGTATGTCAACACACCATCTGTCCACTCCCTAGTGTCCAGGTCAATTGAACCCAGCAGCTGAACAAAACAGACAGAGCGTTATCGTTTCATATCTGACTTCACGGAATGAATTTAAAGTTACAAGAAAACATGGTTTGCGTCTTTGAGATAATGGCATTTTTTCGTTATTTTGTTTCAAGACTCAAAAGAATTAGTAGCATCGTCAGTTTTTCAAGCTTTGGTAATTGGTTTAGGATTGAAGATCAAAACTGCCATCATCTATTTGATTTAAAACGCAGTTTTTGGAAAATTATCGAGAGGGGATACGGAGATTCGCACCACTTGTGATTAATCACATTCAGAGCATGGCAAGCTATCGGATAAAAAATGAACCGGAAGTCTAAGTAGCAAATATTTTTAATAATGAAAAAACTATATCTACCAAAACTTGTATATCACGGTTTGCCTCGAAAGAAATTAGTTTTAGAAGAATCATGTCAAAGAAAAAAATGTCTGTCTGAACTTAGCATTAGAAAAGCGGCAACTTTACAAAGCGGTAACTAAGCCGACAATACTTGGGAAGACGAACTTTGCAACAAAAAAGATGCCCTAAGAAGCTAAGCATAAAAAAATGTATAACTCAAGTTTATAAGTCCCGCTCAGTCTGAAAGTATAATTTTGCCCAAAGTGGCATTGCATTCCATTGCTGTACTATGAACTGTCACGCCGTGACTTCACATCTTGTTATCTAAACTATATGATATTTGTATACGTTGGTAAAAATCACTAACTTTGTGATCAACCTCCAAGACTGGTTGCCAGCTTAATATATATTAAGTTTAACTTGTAAAATGAGGTTTCCAACAAAAAGAGTTCAAAGCTAAAGATACACACAGGATGCAATATGAAGCTTCTTAGCCAAAATATTTCATGCCGAAATCTTTCAAGCCGGATACACCTTTAAATTAAAAAAGAAATTAAACACAGAAAATAGAGACATAGGCAAAGCTGCAACTTCGCAAACACAAGCAAAAAACGGCAAAAAGTAGATCCAAAAAAGTCAAAAAGTGAAGAAAAAAAAGTTCTAAAAGATCTGCTGTTCCGGAATCGAACGTGCCACCAAATTTGCCAAGAAAAAAGAGGATATCGTAATATGACACTGCGCTCCACTTGTAAAGAGCAATTATACAATAACGTATTTGGTAATTCTAGCTTGAAAAAAAAAACTGCAAGATTGAAAAAAAAAACTGAAAAGAACTGGTATTCAAAATGCAAAGATGCTCAAAATATATTTGTGCTAACAAGGAGGTGAGTCCTCCAGAAGACCTATGGACAAAGTTTTTCATGGGAGAAAATCTGGTACCCGATTGCAATACACTTGCTCCCACATGAGTAAATATCAGGGAATCAATCCAACTTTTGTATCAACCTTTTGCTCATTTTCTTGTTCAATTGCAAGCACATTCTAAATAAGTGTGAAGTTAAAATAATGATCTTTTGTGGCAAAATAACTGGCAGTGTAGTGTTACCTGTTGTCTGGGCATGGCTTTGGGATTGACAGTGTAGAGGACCACTTTGTTGCTGATCTTGAGCAGAGCCTGCTGGAGTATCTTCCAGATGGTGGATTTTCCAGCCCCACTTGGCCCAACAACCACCACTCCTGTACGCTGTCTCAGTTGTTCATACAGCTCAAGCGATTTCTTCACCTAAAAACACCCATTCTTTAATCACTCCGTAGTTAGATACATAAGTTCAGGCATAAGCCAACTATTTAAATTCACATAAGTTTTGCAAATAAGTTTTAAAACAACCAATCTTGTAAAAAGAAAAATAGTTGAACTGATAGGGCTTTTGAGAGCTTTCCGCTTAAATTTCGCCAAGAACCTAGGTCTTCACCCGTTTTATTCTTCATAACGTTGGCAAACGAAACGCTAATTTTGAATGCTCGCCTCTAGGATTGCATACTTGGATACGGTGCCAAAACTGCATGCATTTATGAGCAACCACCAACAGCACAAAATATGTATCTATTTTCTCACTCGAGCAAACAAATTGCAAAATGTTCACCTGTCTTGGCATAATCTGCAGGTGCATTTCATTGCACGCTTCTTTGATTGCATTTTCGATTTCCTCATAGGAGACATCAATCGACTCAATTCCAGGAAATACGTCCTTGATAATCCCTTCAAATCTCTGCATGTCAATAAATGTCAGTTTTGACAAAGTGTTCAGACGCAAAGCTTGAACACATATTACAGTTTCGTCAATTGTCGAATCTGATTGGTCGGTCGCTTCTCGCTTTGCTTTCTTGAGTAGGTCCCCACATCCTTTGAGGACTGTTTTGAGTGCACGCAGACCCCAGTCGTAATGTTGTTGTGGGGTCAACAGTCCCCTAAAATTTAAAAGGATGATTTAAAAAAGAGACAAAAAGTATAACAAGGATAGCCGGTTACTGTGCAAGTAGCACACAAAACTCCGATCATAGTCTTGGAAAAACACAAAAAATTTTTTTTCTATTTAGTGCCGTTTTTTCTTTGTGGTGTGATAAAAAGATCTGAACGAAAAATTAAAAATTAATAAAATTGAAAAACAGATTTTGTAAAAAAAAGACTAAAAAACAAAAAAAAAGGTTAAAAAAAATTTTGCTTCAATTTTTTTTTGCAGAATTTTATTTTTTATTTTTGAAATTTTCGATGCTCAAAATGGCGCTAAAAACTCCAGAACCAACTTAAATTGAGTAAAATTTAGTTTTCAAAGCTTAAATTCAGCATAAATGAGCTATTGTAAGCCTGCACGCTCACCTTATAAGCGCAAAATTAGACCAAAAATCAAAAGTTTCAAACCGGTTTTTCTCGACACAGACATTTTTTTCAGAATTTTTAATGACGTTCGAATCATGCCTGAAAGGGCTTTAATATGATATATCACTCGACCCACTCCGATGAATATTTGTGGTATTTTCTCTTGGTTGAAAAACGACATAAGCCTTCTCGCTCGCTCAAAATTAGACAAAAATCAAAATTTTAAAGCTGTTTCTCTCGATACTGGGACAACTTTTTGAAATTTTTCAAATGCATTCAAATCTCGGCTAAAAAAGCTTAATTATGATATATCACTCGACCCATTCCAGTGCTTTCTTGTGGTACCTGATAGTGCGAGGAAAACAAAAAGAAAAAAACTAAAACACACCCGAATACAAAATTCCTCCCCATTTTTCAAATTTTCGGACCAAAAACAGTTAATTTTCACTTAAACCTGTCATATTGAACATGAAATACTTAACTTTGAATTCCGGGATAGACGTTGAAAACGAATCGAACCCGTTAGAATGGACTTAACTAATAAACCAAAAAACCAAATGCAGCAATTTAAGTTAACGAGATTTCAATCGATTTTAATAATATAACAAGAGTGCTCGTATATCAGGGCAAAGCCCTGAACGTTCCCCCAACTGTCCCTTAAATCACATCGAATAGTTTTTGGGAAGAGAAAATATTAAAAACCTATATATTTTGGACAATTTCAAAGTGTAAAATTTTGAGTCGTAAGAAATTAATACGACCAATTAGCTAGCCTCAATTCAATTTGGAACAATTTGGTTGTGCGGGATATAATTCGCAACGCATAAATAATTTGCATTACGCTCTCAGCATTATTAATAAACTCTTTAAAGCGCGCATCATTTAGTCCAGAACATGGAAAATTTGGCAACTTTCAAACCCCCAGAACTTTACAAAAAATGATCGGAGGTGAAATATCTTTTTATATTTGAACTCAGGAAGTCGATATCTTCAATGGGGTATAAAAAATTTTTGTTGAAATTATTATTTCCATCGGTGAAAATTGACTGAATAAAAAAACCAAACCGAGCATAAATATTCCGTTTTCTTCGACAGTCGGAACAATAATAATTTTATGAGGATGGCGAAACCTACTTTGACAGATTGAACACAGCGAACAGTTTTCTTCCCAGCATGGAAGCCTCCTTGTAGCCTTCTGCAAACAACAACACCTCCGAAATCAACTCGTTATCCGGCTTCGACATCGCCACTGGTCGAAACAGCTGTTTCAAATTATCCGGCAGTTTCTGTCTGCCTCCGTATCCTTTTCCAGCGGGATTGAGGGTGATGAAAATGCCAGAGTTATGGTCCAGATCTATGTCTCTATCCATGAGTTGAAGAGATGTTTGCTTCTGCTTGAGAGCGGCCTGGATAACTTGGATTTGCATGGAGACAGCAGACAACACTGCTTCTTCCAACCTAAAAAAAACTTTAGAATTAATATAAAATAAAATATAAAATATAAACCAATTAACACGAAAGGTAAAATGTGCTTCAGACAAAAAGTTATAAAAACTAGATAGTGGACAAAAAAGATGTAGTAACAAGAAATTTAAACCGATACAAATTTATAACAAATTAAACAGATACAGAAAATTTCAAGAATAACATCAAAATTCTCATTCCAAACCCCGCTGCGTAATAAGGGTCATAATAGACTGTTTTATTGAATGTAAGATTTTCGAATCTGAACCAGTCAAAAACATCGCTTCACCTGTTGAACTCGTCGAAACATCCCCACGCGCCACATTTGATGATTCCAATGAATATCCTGCCCATTGACTGCAGATCAATCCCCTCGTCGCAATTAAACACCAGAACTTGCCGGCCGAAAAGTCCTCCAAGCGCCTTCACTGACTCCGTTTTGCCGGTACCCGCCGGTCCGTAGGGGTTCCCACCCAACCCTAGGTGCATGGCCTGTGTCAGGGTCAAGTAACACTTATCAGTTAAAGGCGAGTGGACTAGTTTGGGGGCGTTGCCTTGATACTCGTAAGTGTAGTCGAACTGAGCTTCAACCATTTTCATATAAGCTTCGATCTCACTTTGGGATGAACTTTTACAGTAGAATCGCAACTGTTTCTGCCAATCCCACACAATGACGTCCTTGCTACGCGACTGATTCAGTTGTTTGATCACGTCGATTTCGTGAACACAGTCCAAAATCAATGCTTTCAGCTTCGATTCTAAAACTTGAGCATCTTGGTTTGAGTTGACACTAGAAATATCCACGTTTGTGAAACTCGACAACTTATCGTTCATTTCCCGCATCAACGCATCTAAGCCGTTTCGTTTCAAAGATTTTTCTCCTCTTTCAGTGAACGTTATTTGCTCAGTTAAGCAGAGGATTTGCGAAGGAAACTTGAAAACAGCGCGCGTCGGATCATTCGGGAATTCAGATAAACATTTACCGAGCAGAAGCGCCAATGTTCGTTTCATTTCTCCCGCCAATTCCGATAACCACTTTTCAACATCGTTGCTGATTTTTACAGGCTCGTTCAGAGGTACAACTTCACCCACAAGCGAGCACATTGCCAAGATTGATTTCTTGGAATCGTCGAATTTTACCGTATTGATTCCTTGGAACAACTTCTTTAAGTGGCTTTGGATAACCTCCGGATTGGTAGCCTGACCCAAAATTTCAAGCAGATCGTCGTCACCGATGAAGTAGAACCTTGGAAATGCAGCTCGCTTTTCCTCCAAAAACTGAGCCAGTGACTTTTGGCACCTTTGGAGCTGGTCCAGAAGATTGTTCAGAACACTTCTAAGACCGGTTCGGTTGCACATAGAAATTACTCTAGCGTCTCTTTCAATGTCACCCATAATTCCTCGAAACTCATCGTTAACTTTTCGGAACCTCGCTTGTTCTTTCGGCAATGCTCCTCGGGCGAAGATCGGCTCCAAGTAAAGCCACTTTCTTTGTATCTGGTTGAGATTCAACACATATTCGTCAATATCGGCCAAACGTGTTTCCCAAACTTTCGCTTTGTCCTCGAACGCTGCGTAGTAAGGAGAATCTTTGAGAGACTGCAAGAGACATTGATTGTCTCCGACTTGATTCACCAGGTCTTTGTAATCCTTGATCAACATAAGTCTATTTCTATTCGTGTCGGAATGTTCTAGCAGATTGAAACTAGTTCCACCTCCCCAGAGATCCAACTCTCGAAGCGCATCTCGGATAGAGATTTCACCTTGAGCTCTCAAGTTCAGCTCTTTCAGGGGCTCAACATTGCAATTAATTATCTCCGAAGCACCCAAAATATCACCAAAAGTCAATTTCTCAAGAGCAATGCTGTGTGAGATTCCCAGAAGTCGGTAGAGATCAAGCCAATGATCAGGCGAGAATGAGTCACCTTTTAAGTACTTAAGCAACCCTGCAGTAACGATATACTTTGCAACATCATTATTGAGTTTCACTACAAGAACACTTCTCGGGTCGTAACCTTCACCAGCGAGAGTACTCGGGTTCAGTCGATCTTTCCAGTCTTTGACGTAATCCTGGAACGAGTTGGTCTTCACTCGGAAAGAAATCCAATCCTCAGACGTCATTTTTTCCATGCCTTCTAAGAACTCTCCAAATAGAGACCAGTTCTTTTGGTACTCTCCGATTTCGTCTCTTAGCTGATCCAATTCTGGGAAATCTGGAATCGCGATTCCAAATTGCTGGCACTGTTCGACTAACTTGTCTCGGTTTTGCAACAAATCGTCAAACTCAAGTCGCTTTTCTTGGACTGATTTGAGAGCTGCCTTGAGACTGTTTGAATCGCCCGAGTCCAAGGTGTCATCGGATGGTCTAAACTGGGTCCAACGAGATCGGAACTTTTCGATGTCTTGCCTGAAATCAAGTATCACTTTCTCGGTATTTTCCTTCAGTTTTTCAACCTGGTCAGCAATCATCATCTGGAAGCTTTCCATCATGATTTCAAACTTATCCCATCGAGCATGGAGACTGTTCACTTCATCTACCCCTTGTCCTTGAGTCATTCGAAGCAGTCGGTTTTTGTCCACAATTTTAGCAAACACGGGTTGCAGCTAAAAGTAAACAGATTTTCTAAGTCAACAATAACAAATTTTCAAACAAATACTACAAAAACAAGTATAGCCAATTCATGTGCAAGTAGCATAGAAAATTCCGACCACAGTAGTTCCTAAATACATAAAACTTAAAAAATAAGACTTGTGTCGTTTTGCGTGTGTGTGTCTGCAGGGACAATGGAAAAGGACAAAATTAAGCTTCGAAACATTGATAATGAGTTCAGTTCGACAAAATTTATCTTTGCAAAATTTACACAGAGGTGAAGCTGCACTTCACAAACACAAGCAAAAAAAACGGCAAAAACTAGCTGTATAAAGGAAAAACGCGAAAAAGGACAGAATACAAAATAAACCTTGAGAAAAAAACTTTTGCTAGGTTCCGAAATCAAACAACCGACGTAGTGTTCTCGCATCTGCTTCACGGCCGCAGGAAAAAAAGCAAAAACCTGCTACCAATAAAACCAACAGAACAGATGCTATTAGATTGACAATGCTACGCAACAAAAAAGCCACCAAAGGAGCACTTTTATTTGCGAGTTGGCTTTTAAAAAATGTGGACTCTTAATATAACCTTATATCCTTTAGCTCGCTAGTTAAATAAAACGAAAACAAATTAGTTTCCAGAAAAGCATTTTGATTTTTTTTTTCAAATTATTAAAGTTTACTTTCCCTAAGGATAATCGAAAAGCAATCTGTGCTCAAAAAGGGGTACTAAAATTTCAAAAACTGCATTTTCAAAAAATATATAGCGCAATAAATTGCTTTTTGCCCTACAAGTCTGAGAAAACCTTCAAAAAGATTCAAAAAAATATGAAGCCACTTTTCTAAAATTTTGTCACTTTTTAGACATTTAATTTTTTTAAAGTTTCAGGAGCCAGGAAATCGCTAGCTAAGTTTTCAACACAGAGGTAAAGCAGCTCTATAAAATGCAATAAGAAAGAGTAGAAAGAAACCACGAATTAGTATAAAAAATCGACGACTTCTCGGATTTGAACCTAAGACCTACTGCGACCTACAAATTATGAGTCTCACTAAACATTCAGCCACGGGCCATTAATATGGCAAACACTAGCCACCAATAAAGCAGAGAACAGATGCTATGCAATTTCCAATACTACAGTGAAATTTCCATGTAAGTGAACACTTTCAATGAACACTTTAATTTGCGAGTTAAGTAAGAATAAAAGAAGGTTCGTACTAATACACTAACGCTCGCAAGCTCGCTAGTTAAATAACCATTTTTTTGGTTAAACTTAATTTTTTATTGCTTTAATAATCGTGACGAATAAAGCTTCAGTAACACTTCATATAACAAACATTATTCTGAGAAAAATTTTTAGGAATTTTAAATATCGTTCAAATTACGATTGAAAGGACTTTTACATGATTTATCATTTGATCCATTCTGATGATTTGCGGAGCCTGATTGTGCGTGAAAAAAAAACTAGAACACACCCGATGAAAACTACACCACTGCTAAACAGGTGAAAAACCTTAATTATTTGATTCCACTGAGGTGTAGTGAATAAGATCTTGATGAAAAAATTGAAAAACAGATACAATAATCTACGCTTTTTTGGGATTATATTTCAAGCTTATACTCACGTCAGTTTTCTGTTTGGTGTACTCGTGGTGTTTCGTATTGGCTTCTGTAACCTCCTGTACACTCTGAGGACGTTTCTCCAAAGTATCCAGCGCCTCAGTCAGGAAACTGTCAATCTTGTGAACATCTTCAAGAGCTGATATCTTCAGAGAATCAACGAGGACATCGAACAACTGCTGAAGTAGATCTTCAATAGTGTTGCGAATAGGCACACACGAAATCACAAAGCAGTCCAGTTTTATTTGCAGAGGAAGTTTCTCGAACTCTTTGCCTTTCGTTTTGACTAGTTTGAAGTTTCGCTCGAAATCTTCGACAGTGTTACAAGACTTTTGCACTAGTTCTTCCAGATTAATCTTGCCAAGAACAACCCAGGGCTAAAAACACGAGCTTTTAAAAAATGTAACAAAAGGCTGAAATAAAACATCAAACTTATTCTAGCTGATTTTTTTTAAGTTGAGTTTCAATTGGCTGTAAACTTCTCAATGAGTAAAAAAAACACTATAGAGATGCCAATTAATATTTGCGTCATGTTATAACCATTCAAAATTGGCAAGCCCGATGAAAATATCATAAGCCCTTCATCAAGGTGATGTTTATGTTTTTTTTAAATTAACCTCAAATTGTTGAAGAGCTTTGGCCAAATTTTGCATTAAATTCTCTGCTTTCTTGAATACATTTGAGAAGCTGCTCGAATTTCTTTCAATCATCAACGGGAAAATATTCACGCTTCCTGGTGCTTGATCAGCCGCCGTCATCGCTTTGATCTGGTTGGGCAACGACATGAACCTTCTAAGGGTCCGGTAGTATTGCGTCTTGATCTCTTCAATTCCAGGACTAAATTGAAGCTTCATCTGCTTGAAGACAATTTCTACCTTGATTTCAGGCTGGTTTTGGTTGATACTCTCAAGTCCAAGTTGATACTGGTGCTCGAACGTCTTGTAGACCTGGTGGTTCCAATGAGCCGCCCATTGTTTCAGTTCCTTGTATCCCTCCGATTCAACTTCTTCGAAGATCTTCCGACATTGTTTCAAGGTATCTCGCCAATGTTGCTCTCTTTTAAGCAGGTCAATGTCATAAAGTTCAGAAACTTTATCAACCAAAGCAAAATGTGCTTTTCGGAGCCTTCGATTTTGCAGTGACAAAGTCTCCGCTGCTTTTTGCAACTGCTCAATGTATTGCTCCAAATTATCCGGATCATCCCATGTAACTTCAATTTTCTCTCCTTTTTGGGACGACTTACTAGCTTTTGGGTTCTTAACGATATTCTCGAAGTCCAACGCCGCCTGCAACATCATGGGCTGTTGACATCTGATCATTTGGGCGTCAATTGTGTTATAGAAATTAGCCACTTGTTTCAGAACCATAGCGTACTGGTAAAACTTTTGGCCTTGTTGGACAGTTTGCTGAATCTTGGCTGGAATCGAAAAGCCCATCGCGCTGAGGTTACGCACCTCACGAATCAGAGTGACCAGACGTTCTCTAAAATTTACTTTCAGATGTCCGTCTTTATGGTCAAGTTCCATGATCTTAACAGTAGTTGCCAGACTGATTGAAGCGTTTGGGTCATTTATCGCATCTAGGGTTTCCGAAACCCACTTGTCGAAAATCTCTTGCTTGTAAGCTACCATTGATTCAACCTGAGATTGGCAGAAACTGGCAAACTTTGGGAAACCTTGAAGGTCGCTCAAAATCGGTTCACCATCCTGATGACTGCTTGCTATTCTACTTTGCAGCATCCGAACGTAGTTCATTTCATTGATAAGTTTAGGCAGGGTTGTCATGGACATTTTGGGTTTGGATCTTCCTCGTCTGAGGTTCTCGAATTCATCGCCCATTCCTTTAGCGAAGGAACCAAGCTGGCTTAGAAGAGCCTCTCGTTCCTGTATCAATTCTTGTTTGATGGTGCCTCTTTTGATCAGCTCCTGGTAGCGGAGGAACTCTTGCAGAAGCTGAAACATATACTCATTAAAATATCCTAAAATTGAAAACAGTCAGTTGCCAAATAGTTTAATTGCATCGATAGCCTCAAACTACAAGTTACAGACAGCTGTGAAAAACAAATTACCGTCAGAAACTATTTTTAACTATTTGTGAAGAAGTTTAGTTAGCATAAATTCATTCTTTATTTTTATGTAACCAAACAAAATATTTGTTTTTCTGGAACAAAAATGCTTCTATTTTTCCTCAAATAATCATTTTCTTTTTTCTAAAATCCACATAAAAAGATCATACAAAGAAAACAGGTTGTGCTTGTATTTATATGTTTTCAACTCCTAAGCACTACACATTCACACCTGTTCTCCTTTGGAGTCGCAACTGGAAAGCTGTTGCTTCATCTTCCTCGCCACATGTCTCTCAACTGGCACTAACTTATTCCCGAACTGCTGCAGGGCACTCTCCCACTGGGGCTGGGTGAAGGGGTTGTACATGACTGGATCCAAAGATCGGAAGGGGTCAAAGAGGGAGGAGGTGCCGAACTGACTCTGCTCTGTGTCATCTAGCAGCCAGCTGAGTTGCTGATGTAACACTCTGCACGACATGATCTGAAACAGAACATTCTAGAAGAATGAATATTTTCAAGGCTAAAGGTACAGCGGAGGGAAGCGGAGCACATACATGTTGCCCAAGTCTAAACAAATTGAAATTTCACAATTCTAGTCTCATAATTCAACAAAGCGAGAAAAAAATCAGATAAAAAATTATCATCACAAACTACATTTTCTGACACCCTTTGATTTCATACTAAGTAGGTAAGGCTTTGTTCATTAGTAATTGAAAGGCAGAAATTAGAAGTTCACGAAGTAATTCAGAGTCACTGATTGCTAGTCGAATTTATGTGAAGGACGATTAAATAGCAGCTGACCTCTTTGAGTCTGTTGCCCAGATAGACGATTCCCTCGAAAGGCAGCTTGGGACTTTTCCAGGTGTGCAGAGTGTCCTGTCTCCATAGATTACACTTGTTAGTCATCAGACGTCTCCAGTCGTCACAGATCTGCACACCCAGCCTCAGATTGGATTTGACCTCGTGGTAGTCGCCTCTCCAGCAGTCCACTTTAGACACTTGTCGCTGCACGAAGCGGCCGATATCTCCGCCTGAATTGAGAAACCAATACTTCAGTTATATTCAACAAAAAGAAAGCTTCAGAAGATATAAGAGCCATTTATTGAGAACGGTGAAGATTTCCAATAAGATATTTGTTGATTATAAGAACTTCAATAGTTTGGGTAAAAAACAGCTATTTTGAGATTGTGGATAAATGCTACACTACTATAAAATTACCAAAATTCTTAAAAATTAAATAATTAACTAAAAAAAGAAGAATGAAAAAAAAAACACTTAGGCAATAACTAATAAAACGATGCCGAATTAAACTCAAAGCGACCACGTCGAAATAACTTTTGCCTTACTTACATACTTCAACGGTCTGTTTACATTTCGGCGCCTTTTTTCATACGCAATCGGTACATACCGATTACTTCAATCAGATGTTTCATTCTGTCTTCAGGGTACAGAGGCTCTCTATCAGTTATACCCCACACAGCGTCTAGTACTTCGACGACCTTCGGCAGGAAATCGGCCACCGCTTCTAAAGTCTCGTTCTCCATACCCCGGAAAAACTGGCCCACTTTTGCGAACTGCTTCGAGTACTCGGCTGCTCTGTCTTTGGCCTTGAAGGATGCCATTGACGAGTTTTCGATATCGCTCCAGTGAGTTATCTCATCCGTTGTTCGCAGAACTCCTTAAACATTAGGGTGCAAATTTTCATGCTTCAATTTATTCGTTGACATTAATAAAAGCACTACACTGATAAAATGCTGGCAATTAAAATGGAAATGAACTAAAAAAATAACGGACAGGGCACTAAAAAAACGCATCCAGTGAATTCGATTCAACTACTCACCTTTGGTTCCCCATCAATTGCAAGTACTATCAAAAAGTGTGGGGCTATTGAAAAAATCCGTTCTTTTTTCTTCCATTTTTGCGATTAACTTGAACAGCGCTTGTCTTAGATACCAATTTACCTTGAAAATAGGCATCGTCGCCAAGATTGACCTTTGCCTGTGCGTCTCCATTTCTAGTATTTTCAGCAAGTTTCGAGTCTAGGGCTTTCAGTAGACTGAGCAGACTGGAATCTGCGACTGATACTTCGTCTCCCTTTGAACCATTGTCGGCTAGAAGAGGTGCATACACCTTGTGGAGAGCATGGTAAAAGGAACTCATGGGAGACTCTACAATTGTGACGACAATCACGTTGGCTTGGATATTGCTCACATCTACGATAACGTCGGGTCGAATCTTACTCATAGCCACACACTTTTCCATTGTTATGTTCTCTGCTAAAGGCTGAAAATACGAAAATACATGTCTTCAAATCTTTTCCGAACTCATAAATATCTGTTTAGCCTTCCTTCAGAGCTTAACTTAAATTCAGATTCCTACGAAACCTGATGAACCAGTATCTGGTTAAATGACTCTTGATAAAACATTCGATAAACTTAAGCTTTGCGGATGCTGATAATTCGATTGAAACACAAACCTCAATATTAAGAGCGTTGTTTTGAGAAAAGGCAAAAACTTAAAAAAAACTCAAAAAATCAGAATTTTGACTTTTCCAAGGGCCATAAGTAATTGTGGAAAAAAATAAGGTCGTAACCACATAAGCATGAGATTTACACGTCATTTTTATTCCATTAAAACCATAATTTCAGATTTGGGAGGTTAGTTTTTGAGAAAACAAAAAAAATCCAAAAATTTGGGTGAAAAATTCTCCCAGACTTTTTCAAGGCTCAAGAACAGGGGGTACGTTAAAAAAAAGACTTCACGTATACGCAGGCGCACAGGGGAGTGCGGGGTCTTTCAAATGCTAACACCTTTTTGCATGCCAAAAAAGTAGTTTTTTTTTCTTAAAAAAAAAACTAAATTTTTTGAGAAAAGTGCAGTCTCAAAAAAATGACAAAAAAAAACCGAATTTTATATATTTCCATAATGAATGTTTTTATCAATAAGAACAAACACGTGAATCATAAAATAAAAAACCAAAGCTTCGGAAAAAAAAGCTTAAAAATGGTACAAAATACTATAAATTGCATTTGGCAAAAAAACGGAAAATCAGCCGACAAAAATTAGGCCAAAAAAATCAACATTTTTCGAAAAAAAAAAACATTTTCAAAAATCCAAATAAAAAAAATTTTTCCAAAAAACCTTTCAACAAAATGAATTACTACCTAAAACGAAATTTAGGAAATTGAGCATGTCACTTTATCTAATTACCAAACTTTCTTTAGACTGCTGTCAGCAGACGCATAAAATGACTTTACAAAAAATGTCGAATTTATTCGAATAATGCATCACAACCGTACAAACTGTCTGTGGAATCAATTTTTACACATTCAACATTATCATTGCACATACCACGATCTAAAACAAATTCAATTTCTTTAGTCTGTCGAATATTAATCATAATAATAATCATACACAGAGGCGAAGCTGCACTTTCCAAACACTTGCGAGAACACGACCAAAAAGCAGCTCTAGCAAATGACATAAGAAAAAGCAGAAATAAGCCTCAAATTTGCAAAAACTCGAATTAGCAAAAATCTGCGACATAGTAAATCTGCGACATACTAACAATTCAGCCACGGATGCTTAAAATCCCCAAAAATTAGCCACCAATAATAACGCAGCTACATATGCTAATCAATTGCCAATTCATCCGAACAAAAGTAACCAGGCGGTGACAAAGCCAAAACTACCTGACCCCAAACCTAATAAGACATTTTTAAAATTCAATCCTAATTAAAAATATTCTTGTCCCTTTTGCCCTTATAACACACACAAGCACGCAAAACATATTTTTCGCACATCAAACGAGGCAAAAAGAGGCCATTAAGCCAACATAAACACAGAGGCGAAGCTGCACTTCGCAAACACTAGCAAAAACTCGACCAAAAAGCAGCTCTATTAAGTGAAATAATAAAAAAGTAGAAATAAGCCTCGATTTTGCACAAACTCGGCTACGTGTCGGATCGAATCTGCAACGTAGTAAATTTGAGTCTCACTCACTAACCATTCAGCCATGGATGCTTAAAATCCCCAAAAAACTAGCCACCAAAAATAACGCAGCTACATATGCTAATCAACTGCCAATTCGATGCAGCAAAATTAACACCAAATACAAAAAGATACAATTTTGCATGTAATAAATTGCAAATCATAAAGCCACATTATGTATAAATTATGCATTTCAAAAAACTGCGAGATATATTGAGTTAGGAAATTTCTGAAATCGAGATTTTATTATTGTTATGTTGTTTGAAACAAATAGCTTTTTTCGGTTCCCTTGATGAACTAAAAATGCATCAACTGTGTAAGCTTATAACTACTCGAATGTCAAAGTACATGTTATCAATAAGCTGTAAAGGTTCAACAAATAAGCTGTCATGCCAATTCGATGCAGCAAATATTGTTGCTTTGAGTCGCAACAATATTTTCGACTTAGTCGCAACAAAAATCGCAACAAAATTTGCGACTTAGATTGGAAAAAAAAAGAAAGTTCCTACTATAACACTTTGCTTCGGAAGTGTAAATAATCATAATCATAATAATAATTATTATAATAATAATAAATGGTTTTCAAACCAATCATATACACAAAATTAAGCTCAGTAATTTATGATTAATATGGGCTTTAGATGGCATCCTAAAGATTTCGAAAGAAATCTGCCAAGAGATGCCTCAGAAAGCAGAACAGTTTTGAAGTATACTGGCCTTTTTTCAGGTCTGGTAGTCGCAATTTAGAAGTCTAGAACACAAGTAATTGAAGCACAAATGAACTGTCTATTTTTCTCTTAGTAAGCGATTTAAATTCGTGTACATTGACAAAACATTAGATGCGATTGTCGCCATTGAATCAAGGTCAATTGAGTTTTTGAGACGCTTTTGAGGGGTTCATTTGTACCTTGTCGTCCTCGTGGATTTTGCGTGTTCATCGGAAACTTCCTGTTTATTTCTGTGCTCTAAGCCCCTCAAATGTATTTTAAAACATTCATTCCGGTCCCATTTTATCATCTGCTTTCTCGTATACATTTCGCGTTAGACATAGAAAAGCTACCATTGTCTTTTTCATTCCGAACCAAGTCTCTGGCCGAGATATGTGAACCAGATGAGTTCCACAATGAGTTCAAGATCTGTAATGCCATCGTGTTTTCATGCGGTAGCTGATTCGCATTTGACTGGAAGAAAAACCAATAATGCTTCCAGATAAAGACCAGGAATCATTCTGCGGTATAACGATTGCTCAAAAATGCATATTATTATTATTATTATTATTATTATTATTATTATTTTATGTTATTATTAAGGCTTCGCGGTAGAACCGCAGGGAGTGATCCCAAAACAAAAGAGTTAATTTAGAGTATCACGGCATCCAGAGCACATGCAGGCAAACCTCCACGTGTACAGTCTATCGACATCGAAAAAGTTGTTGAAATACTGCCAAAAGAAGTGGAAAAGTCTTCCTTTCAAACCATTGCTTGAGAGGTCAATTTTCTTACTGATGATATTCAGGAGTCTCGGTGTGCGATACCAGAAATTTCAACGACTAACTTCGAGCTTGCGAATGGGTAAACTGAATAGTTGTAATGAGGAATTTCTTGTATTGTAACTTGGTTGATTGAAAGAGAGAAACCTTCTCCAGTCGAAGTTGTATTTGTTTTCCATTATTTTAGAAAGCGTTAAGAGGTCATGTATATGCATATTCATCGATATCGGCAAGATGTTAAGAGTCTTGAGTCGGGTTTTGTAGCTTGTATCAGGATAGCCAAGTATCCAGACCGTCGCTCTGCGTTGGACTTGTTCGATTGTTTTCAAGTCGGTTTTGGATGGAAAACAAACACAACTGCCGTACATGATAATAGGGACTATTGTTGACTTGTACATGTTTAATTTATGATACCATGTCAAACTCGGAGAGCTGTTGCGTTGGATAAGTGAAAGCATAGTGTTTGCCTTTCTGCATGCTGTTGTAAAGTGGATGCTCCATTTGAGGTTGTTCGTGAGAATGACGCCCAAATCTTTTTCTTGATTGACACGGGAAAGTTGTTGACCCAGTATGTTAAGGCTTGTGTTGGAGCTTTTTCTCCCAAACGAGATGAGGTGGCACTTGTCATAGTTGAATAGCATTTGGTTCGCCTCGCACCAATTCGCAAGAACATCCAAGTCAGCTTGTAAACAAGAAGCCATACAGTTTCTCAAAGACAACAAAATAGTATCATCCGCGAACATATCAGGCAGTGACTGAACACCTATGTTCATATCAGCAACATATAAAAGGAACAACAGTGGCCCGAGAAGTAAAACTTGAGGCACTCCGCTTGTTATGAAAAGATAGGTGGACATCGTGTCGCTGATTTGTACATATTGTCTGCGATTCGAAAGATAACTCCTTAAAATATTAAGAAGGCGGCCTCTCACACCAATGTGATGTAACTTACTCAGAAGTATTTGATGATTTATCTTGTCGAATGCTTTCGAGAAATCGAGGTACACTGCTTCGACAATTGATTCCTGGTTCTCTATTCCTTTGTAAATATCGTGGAGATAGCAGAGAAGTTGAGACAATGGTGATTTCCCTCTCAGGAAACCAAATTCAGGAATGTAGTTGATAACATGCCAATACAGGTCGTCAAAAACACATTTTTCAAACACTTTGGAGACGATATTCAGCAGGGTAATTGGTCTGTACTTAGTAATATCTGTTTTGGAGCCTTTCTTGAATAGAGGAGAAACCTTGCCAATTTTCCAATCGTCTGGGCAAGAATTGAGTGCAGCCAGATTTCCCCGTCTTGGAGAAGCACGTTCGGCTTTGATCAGCATTTTCCGGAGAAAGGTGAAGCAAGGATTGGGATAGTCCGCCAAGGAATATCTTATGCGGCGCTTGCTGCTAGATGTTGGGTGCCTTGCTTCGGATTGCAGCTTTACGTAAATAGGAAAGTGATCAGAAAAGGGATAGTTCCGGAGAACAGTCTCATCGATATTTATCGACAACACCGGAGCGGTGTTAGAGACCAGTAGAAGATCGAGAACACCAGAGTTGTGTTGAAATCGATCAGCTGTGAGAACACCAGAGTTGTGTTGAAATCGATCAGCTGAGTCAAGCTTAACCTGTCGAATTCCCGCAAGAGTTCAGTATCGTAAGGCTCGTTGGAACATAGTGTTGACCAATCTACCAGTGGGAGATTTGCATCTCCGAGCAGTAGAATATGCTCGTTCGGTAGTGCGTTTCTGTAGACACAGTTCAGAACAGAGATCCACTTTTCAATAAACCACCGATAGGGACTGCTCTTCGGAGGGTTGTAGAACAAAACTAAAAGATAAGTGATACTCTCGAGTTAAACAAGGCAGGCCAAGACATCGACACAGTTATCATTATCGAGGTTCACAGGTGTGTGCGAGATTGATGATCTGACTGCCAGCAGGACTCCTCCGTGCTTCGAAGCCTCGCCTGCAGTTGGCCGGTCGCACCTGTACACCAGATATTTCGGCAAATGAAACTCGGCGTCGGTAAAAGAAGAATGGAACCATGTCTCAGACAAAGTAATAAACTGCGCGGATCAGAACTGCTTTAGAGAAGGCGAATCTTCGATGAACAGAGATGAGACTGCGAACATTGAAAGACAGCACGCTCAAAGGTAGTCAGATTGATTCTGTTCATTGTTGCTGCGTGGTAGTGCCGACAGGATTATCATCGAGGAATAACTTGAGGGAGCGTATTTGTAATCTTGCAGACTCAGTTCTAGCATTTATCAGTTCTCTGCGTTTCTGCAGACACGCATCTTCAATGGCTTTATCGCTTTGATTTAGTGCGCGAGACATGAAGACTTTTCCAGTAAAAAACTTGAGCATTGGCGCTTTGGCTAGGACTTTTCTAGCGTCCCAGGGGCTTTGAAATGTAACCAGGATGGTTCTTGGTCTTTTCTTTTCCCTCTGAAATTTACCTAGTCTTCGTATGTCGATGATTGTAGGGTTTTCATACAGGTGGCTGAAGACAGAAGACACTGATTTTTACTCAACATCGAGAATTTCCGAGCTGCCGAGCTCTGAGTTTTCACTAATGCCATCAATGCCCACCTGTTGTAGATGCTTGGCATCGTGCGTTGCTGATGCCAAAACACCTACTTAAGCGGCAGCAGCTGTACCGCTACTATGTTCACGCTGAGTGAACGTTTTGTTTATTGAACCCATAGCCGCTTGAATAGGTTTTAATTCGTTTGCAATGATGCAGTGTTTTTCGTCAAGTTTCTTGTAGATTTCAGGAATGACCGTTTCCTTGATTTCATTTTTAGCATCTTATTTACATCTGACTAATTGGAGTTCAAAAAGGAATACCTTCACAAAAAGACAACCACATCAAATAACCAGATCATATTCTAAATATAATCAATCATAAAAATATTCATATACAGATTATATTTTGGCTCGATAATATGGCCCAAAACTCGCGCGCTCGTTTTACGGGTTCAAAATTAAGCGTCACGTTGCTCGTTCCATCATTGCGTGATGAAATGATTTTGGTTTACGGCACCTTTTGGCGTTGCGCCAAAAATTCTGAAACTCGTTGCTTAAAAAAGAAAAAATGAACGACTGAAATCTCGTTTTATTTAATAAAAATTTGTAAGAAAGATCTGCAACAGAGATTATATAATTTGTTTAAAGATTGTTAATTTGAGACGAGTCGCATTTTATACCAAGTTTTCGGCACCACGCCTTGCGATTAACTTGAAAAATTTAGCTCAGTTTTAGCTTTCAGCTCCAACAGAAAGTAGTGAAACGGGTGAAAAGATAAAGAAGAGAAACAGCTATTTTTATGGTTACAGAAGTTGTTTACGTGTAAAAAAAAGTCTAAAGCCCAATTTAAAAATGTTTGTCGCTAAAGTAACAAATCACATGAGATTCATCATGACGAAACGAAACTCTCATTGAAGCTTGCTGTTTTTTTTTTAAATAATAACCTTTGTCGAAAAATGATAACTGGTTTCTGTCATCCACACAAAGAACACCATGCAGTTGCCATCGTCGAGAAAACTGTTCAGTTCCTGAGAGGCAAGAAAGTTGCGCTGTAAATTTTTGTCTTTTCCATAATGACCATATAGCATTTGGAGGAGAAACACTTTCCGTGGATCAGAATCTGTTTCCATATCTCTGAAATAAAAAAAAACATAAGATACTTATAGGAATCGAATTAAGTAAGCAATTTATGGATATTGAGTTATTTAATTCTGCTAGCTGATAAATAAAGACTTGATTTGTTGAAAAGACAGTTTCGTGTAAAACAGAAGAAGCGGATCGCTGTGCAAGTAGTCGATGATGTTGCGACTGTACAGCAATTCTTCCAAAAAGAAATCAAGCTCCAATTTTTTTTTTGAAATGACCTTTAGGATTCCGAATCACGACTAGAAAAGCTTCGATATCGTTTCATTCTTCAACATATCGTTTCGAGTTTTACTCGAAAAACTCAAACTCCTGGAGAAAGCCCAACCTATGCCTTAGATAGTTTCCGCTCTTCAAAATTGAGCTTTTAAAGTTCGACATCACAAAAAGTTATTTACCGTAGTCTATATAGCAACTATAGTTATTGCCGTCATCATTGCTTAAGAACTCAAAATTTTAAGACAGAGGCGAAGCTGAGCTCCGCATCACTTGCGATACAACAGTTATAGGATGAAAACTGAAACTCAAGAAGTAGCAAAGACGATTTCAAACGACTTAACCATTGAAGAAAGAACTAAAAAAACAAAATTAAAAAATTACTAGTGTAAAAAATGATGTTCTTACATGTTCAAATTTATTAAAGTATTTTAGAAAGGGTCCTTTTGGGGCTTGATTATTCGAAAATGTCAGGGTCTTATCAATCTCAAAAAAGCAACGGAAATTTTCAGCATCTTAATGGAAAAAATTGCATGTACTCCACATAAGATGCACGAGTGCTATTTAGGAAGTGTATACAAGGTGATATACATAATTTAGACATTAAACCGACTCACCTTAAGTGGAAAAAAATGAAGCCAAAAAATAATCGGCAGAAATATAATATTGAAACTTTACAGTTACACATACAAGGTTTGAAATTCTATATCTTTACCAGTAGCTTTTAGCAGCCAGTAACAACCAAATTAATTTCAAAAAATTGAGCATTTCAGCAGCTTAAATGATGCGAGTGATTTGATCAAACAGGTTAACCCGAAAAAAAGTATGTATACCGATTTGATAACGCTCGCTAATCGCAAGCGTATAAAAGTTTAACATATCTACGGAGTTTCAAATTGCAAAGAAGTAGCCGGTTGCTGTACTTGCAGCACAAAATCATTCGACCACAATTATCATTGCAAAATGTAAATAACGATTGAAAACAAATCACGTTTTTAAAAGTTTTTTTATTCAATCTTTTCAAAAAACAGTTTTTGTAGATTATTTTTAGAAAGAGCAATGATAACCGGTTGCTCTGCAAGTGGCACAGAATCTTTCGACAATTGTAAATTGAGTAAAAACATTCAAAAGCTACGATAATTCTGAAACACAAAATAGAAAAAATTGTCTTTCTTAATTTTTAGTAAGTGGCAATGAGTTAAGTAAAACAGCAAAACTGATAAGTAATTTATCTATCATAACGTACAAAACTGGGTTAGAACTAAACTAAAATCAAATTAAATGGCATCATGCGAGTATGATCATCGAAAAAGCTCAGACCACTTTTTCTCGCCCCTGAGACAATAATTGATTTTTTTTGAATCCGAATAGCAGCTGAAAGGGTTTTATGATAACACAATGGTAGTCAAAATGCGTTCGAAACACACACCCTACGCCATCTTTTCTTCCCACTTCGTAAATTTTTTTTTCTTTTTTTTTGTTTTCTTCTTTTTTTTACTGTAATCAGAAGGTCAAAAGTATCATAGTAACCGAGGTTACAGTCATGAGTCCCTTCATCATGTATTCCAGTCAAAATCCTTGGAATTTTCTAGATATGGAAGTGATAATGATAAAAGAAGATGACAAGTGTTTAAGGGACTCTGCCCCGGTGGGTAGTCATCTAAAGGAATGCGGAGCAGACAAGGCTGCAGTTGAGGCGAGAAATTTAGACAGATGCTTAGACACGAATAAACTTTTGCACTTAGAAGCGCTTTATATTTCGAGGAGAAGACCTGCCCTCAACACGCGCGAGGAATACCGGCAGAGGTACCTCACAGTCAAGTTGTGAGGTTTTTTAAGTCCGTTTGTTTTAGTCACATGACTAAATCGGGTCTTAACTGACGCTATTTTTATTTTCTTTTTAATGTTAGTTTTTATACATTTTTTGTAATTTCTACACATCCACTTCCATTCCGGTTTTACAGGTGCTTTGTTTTTTAGATTGGCTGATGATGACTTTTATGTCGAAAACATTTCTGGAATTTATTTTACATTGATCTGCCGTTTTTACCACAAGTGTTTAAGTCCTTTTCAATTAAAATCGATACGGGTTACGTAAAATGGTCAACACAAAAAATCTGCAGCCGACAACAGTGCATATGAGAATAAACACACTTTCAATCACTCTTTTTAGGGGATTTAACCTCTCTATTCCCCAGCCTAGTAACAAAATATATGCAGCCCGTACATAGTATTTTTTCTTCTACGGGAGACTATATTTCGCTGAGGGGATTAAAGCTAAAATGAGTAATATCCCTTTCCATTTACTTTATGAAATCACTGTATGTAGAAAAGAGGATAAATTGCAGCTCTTCGCTTAGTTTGAGTCTGACTAGCAAAAAATTTAGACCAGTTTATCTCGACACTGAGACCATTTTTATTAATCAAAAGGTCGAAATTGTCAGGGTAATATAACTCGCGCTATTTTTATTCTCCTCGCGAATATAACTCGAGAATATAACTCGCTCTATTTTTATTCTCCTTTTTTATTCTTTAAGATGATTGTTTTTTTTTCAGTGATTCTGATGATGTCGTAACTTATCGAAGCTGAGAAATTTGTTTGAAGTCCTTTTTCCGAATCACAATTAAAGAGGCTATTTTAATTTCATATATCATTATTTCCTTACACACTTTCTTTCAGTCAGTCAAATTCGCCTACAAAGAATAGTTAATTTAAGAATAGTTAAGTCACTGTGTAAAAAATCTATTAGCCAGTTTTCAGCACTGATAGAAACAAAAAATTTTAAGTATGAAATTCTGCATTCAATATTTCAAGAATGAGAATGAATAATTTAAAAAAGAAAAAATATGGAATAACATGAATCATATAGCTTTTTTTTAACAATTGTTCATGTATAAATACAAAGATCCAACAATCGAATTTTTGTTAAAAAATGATTTTTGCAAAAGACTTCTACAAATTCAAAAAATGTTGCCAAGGATATGTTACAATTCAGCAAGGGACCAAGATACACGGTATCCGGTAAAAGTTATGTAAATAAAGCTATAAAGTTGAAAATAGATAATTCAAGTGTTCCAGAATACCCTGTAATCAGTACTGAAAATGCATTTAAAGCACAAACCAAAGGCAGAAAAAGAAACAATTTGGCGACCAGGATACTCTATACCCGGTCGAACAAAAATTGTGTAGGATCAGTTCAAAAACTATCTAGACGAGCTTTTAACAATTTACAACCAGTTTCTTGGGTCAATAATTAGGATACTAACTCGATGAGCTGTTTCCGATAAATATGATATAATTGATGTTCACGTTGTTTATGAACTTAACTAAGTAATCTTAATTTACAAAGCTGAAAAAAACGCACAAAAAAATGGTCGTGTCAGTGCGTTTGACAAGTTGACTGCTACGGTTTGAAAAGCTTATACAAAACTCAAGAAACCAAATTGAAACTATAAAATCAAAGATGAGCAAAGCGATAGTCAACAGACGTAAAAGTGAAAAGGATAAAGTTTAAGCAAGGCGGGCGTTGTGCCTTCAAATTCACTAATTCCACCTTTCACATGAGAAGATTTAAGTAGCCTTGGCATATTGAAAACACCTACAGAGCTTGCGCTTCTGAAACAGTCAAGTAATTGTCAATTAAAATGAGAGAAAACAGCACGTTTTCAAAAACATCTACAAGCAATAGACAAAAACCTAAAATTTTGGCGGTTGTTGCTCATCCAAAATCAGAGCAATTATCTCAAGCATAAAGAGTCATGGACTGTTGATGTTGAGCAATTGTGTATTCCCAATGCGATGCTTAACAAAAAGACCGAACAATTTCTCTCCAAAATTGACAAGGATCGAAATCTGCCTCTCGCTCGTATTGATCTAGACGCAGGTAAAGTTCACTAACTACCAAGTGGAATTAATCACAGCATATTCATATCACGTGAAAGCTGCACCATAAATACTTCGGGCGGAAATATTAGCACAGGGCGAGCTGTACAGTAACACTATCCAAAATGAAACTCAAGAAAATCTTTCACGAGACTGGTCGTACAATTCGCGAATGCAATCGTTCAAGATGGAGGGTGTGAAAAATCTTTTCATATTCGATCTTTACATGAATGTTCAAAAGGTGGATAAATTGTAAAATATGACATGTAGATTGGTGTTTCTTCAGAAAAGACAAAAACCTTGTAACATTCGCCCGGAAATACATATCGACGGAAAATAAAGCTAGGTTCTAAAACGACTGGCTAGCAACTAAACACAGTTCTACATGCTTTTCACCGTCTCTGCCAAAGCCAGTTCTTTTTGGTGGTTTTCCTGACATCAAGTCGACAAAACGTTACTGCTTTCCGGCTTGGAAAAAACGCTCAAACGAACTTAATTATATGCAAAATAGTGAGCTCATGGCTTAGTCTCAGTATCCCCAGACCACGAGATCACTCTTAAAAACAGGGCTATTACTCATATATCATACTACTTTTGTTTTTGTTCAGTAGATAAAAATCATCATCTCCAACGAAGATGGATCAACCCTTTCCCTGAACTCCTAGCTTCTAATAATCTGAAAACGAACTTGGTATTAATTAAATTCAACTCAAGACATTCCGAGAAGCTAAAAATGTTAAAAAATGAGTTACAGTTCTCTCCCGAGACCCTTCCGGATTGTAGAATCCGGAGAAATAACGCTCTTTTTTCTTCTCGGAAGGCTGAACACGACTGGTTCTTGTGAACTGCTCGGTAACGATTGTAGCGTCACAGTCGTTACCACTAGGAGTGGTT